GGGGGGGGGGGGGGGGGGGGGGGGGGGGGGGGGGGGGGGGGGGGGGGGGGGGGGCAAGCGCTTGGTGGACTGGCAAAGATGGAAGGTCTAAAAAGCAGTGGGTCTTCACTGACGCCGCCCCCGGCTGGGGTCGGCGGATAAAAATCATAGATGCTAATAGACGTATATTTATTATTATCTTAATATGGTGATACAAGGGATTGCCGTCGTTGAAGCGGTGGCCAGGAGCTGTGGCATTGGCCACCTGCCAGCCTGCCGCGCCATGGCAAAACACCCATCCCCCCTCAATTGTGCATCACAAGAAGGCGGCACGTGCAACTTTGCTTCTAAACCCTAAACCCTAAACCCCAAACGCTAGACTGCACCTGTCCTTCACCTTTCTCACAAGGTTGCCTGGACTTTACGGCCTCGAAACAATGCCGAGTTTGCCTCAGCCTCAGTTGCAAGGCTGCGACTTGAACTGCTGACAAACGCGCCTGGAAGTCACAATGCAGCTTCTGCAGTTCAGAGGCAACATTGTCTCAAGAATCCATCAAACGTCTGAGATGACTCTGATGGTGCCTCCTGCATTCTTTAGCGAAAGGTGCGAGATATTGTTCAACAAGTTGTTGCTGAAGCGCCTGGATCCCCACGTAACCAAGCAGACTTGCCTGATGAAGAGCAGCTTGGCTGACACAAGTCCATCTACATGGATTGGGAGGCAACCAATACGAATACTGCTATTTGGCGCAGTTTCTTTCGGCCCTTGCACTTGTGCAGCAGAAAGATGTGCTCCAAATTTGGTGTTTTCTGCTGCTTTTCTTCAAAACCATCGCCGTGCTGAGAATAATTAGTTGTCGCAAAGAATGACCTGACAGAAGACAGCTGCATGTCAGCAAGCATCACGCGGGCAAAAAAACCGTCCCGAGGCTGGCTCAGATGCTCAAAAACAGCACGAATGCAGCAAACGAGTTCTCCCGCAATTCGGCCCTCGGTTTGGGGCAAAAGTAGCCACAAATGAGTATAAACGAAGCAACGTGTGAAATATGTGAGCGTACCTTTGCTGTTATTGTTCTTGAAATTGTCCTTATAACTGTTATATTTTTTGCGTGTGCTCTCTCTCTCTCTCTGTTTTGCTGTGCCCTGCGCGACTTGCTATTTTAAGAGGTTGGAAGAGATTCATGTTCCACCAGGCCCATATATCCCTCGCGGTTGTAGACTGAGTCTCTCCTACAAGATGGCATGCCAGGCAAGTTCTCTTGCAGATCTGGACGGGTTGGCTGCAAACCAATGACAGCTGCATAAGCTGAGTGTGTAAAGGCTTGGGAGTGTACTTTCGACCCAAACCCTAAACCCTAAACCCAGACCCTAGACCCTAAACCCTGCAATTCAGCTTCAGCCCGGCCGCATTTTTGCTACAAGGGGGTGGGGGGGGCTGGGGGTGCTCTGTGTTTAGAGCCGAAACCAACGGTGTTTGCATGATGCTCTGACCTATAAGTCGGGAATTCCTACTGTTTTTTTGCAGTTGAGGGTCGAAAAACTGTAGGCTGAGTAGAGCTAGAGGGAAGATCAAGCGTAATAGTACCCTTAGCTACATGGTTGTGAGGGGGTCGGGCATCGTCCGGGATACAAAGAGACGCTGCTGACCTGCCATGAGCGAGTGGCCGAGTCTTCCTCCACATGTGCCGGGTGCCTTGCAAGGAGTCCCCTGGCCTTTAGCATTTTGTAGTACGCCATATAGCATAGAAAGTTGCATAGAATATACTTATATAGTACGGAATAAAAATACCGGTAGTCTAAAATCGCATTCTAGCAGCGTAGACCCAAGCAGTGAGAGATCGTGGGAACCCGCATGGTTTCGCATCTCGGAAGCCCTGACGTCCAGCCAGCGCATCCAAAAGCCCTGACGGTTTCGGGGACGGTGAGCCCAGTGGCAGCCCATAGGGCCATAGGGCTGACACACTGTTTTTGGGAATAAAAAAGTAGAACATCGCTGGTTACAATGCGACTGAACGATGCCGTGGGCTAGGATGTGGTTCATGAAGTTTATGTTTAGCAACGTAAAGAAGAGCAAGTGCTTGTCTGATTTCCGAGTTACAGTATACTCGGGGCAAAATCATGAGGCGAGATCGTTTCCTTTGGCCTTTGTGCTGGTCAGGAAAGCAAACTTTTTGTGTTTGGGTTCTAAGTAGGGCCTGCAGGCCCGCAACGGACGCTGTCAGTTTACGGACAGCATAGGTCCTGCGGGTGCAACTCTATGAGTTTCTGCCGGAGGGGCCTGGAGACGAAGTTCCAGCTGAGTTGCTTGGCGTGCTGGATTGGTGGGGCCAAGATCCGGATCAGCCAGGGGCAATGCCCTGCCTGGAGTTGTGGAGCCATCCGGCTCGCAGCTCTCGTCAGACGTTAGCCTGCTTCCGGACGGTTGAGTACCCAATCCACTCAGCTCCCAAGAGGTTCACCACATATCTGAAGGACATGAAATGCTTAGGCATCCGCCTTTACGGCATCCAACCCGCAGAGGGCGCGGTGGGTTCCCCACTGGGCCTGTGTGAGATTAACCTGCAACCTTGGCTGCGTGGGCCCGACGTCGACTACGCACTGCGGGTAGAGGGCTTCTTTCCGGTGGTGCGGAGCCATTCGGATCGGATGATGGTCGGTCAGCTTCGGGTGTGCATTTGCACAGACTGGACGGAGGACGCCGAGCTCCGTCCGAAAGCTGAGGCCATCCAATCCTTCGAGCAGCACGAGTGGCAAGCGAGGCTTACGGAGGAACGCGCGTTAGCCGTGAGACTTGATAATCTGGAGCGGCAGCAGAAGAAGAGCACCAGCAGCACCTGCAAGCCCGAACGCGTCGCGCAATCGGCGGAATCCTCCTCCGACCTGCAGGACGGGAAGCTCGGCAAGCTACACTTGCAGGTGCATCTGTGCGGACTATGCTTGCAGCTGTCGGCCTTTGATTCGTCCCCAGCTGCAGACGATTTGCGCGTAGCATTCCGCTTTGGCGTCGCTGATGAGGTAACTGTTCTGGCATCACCGCATGAAGTGGATTCGGAGTGTGTTAGCTACCTGCTTGGCTCAGCTCATGTGTCCGGAACCCCTGTGTGGCAGGGCAGTACCCCTGCATGGCAGGGCAGTACGTTGGGAGGCAGTGCAACCCGAACTCCTGCACTGAGTTCCATACACTTTCATCTGTGGCACGGAGAGCAGCTGCTAGGACTGGCAGCTTTGTCCATGCCAGCCACAGGGCTGTCAGATTCGGGCTGCAGCTGCTTGTTGAGCCAAGATGTGCGCATCTGTTCCTTGCGTGCTGGCCAAGAGGTTGGGCACATCAGGGTTGCCCTCCACGCGGGGCCCGCTGATTTGCTCAAGGCTCAGGCACCTTATCGGGCAAGTGTGCCTGCCCGCCTCGTCATCCAAGCCGAGCCCCAAAAACATGCAAGGCCATGCACAAGGCAGCAGCCACATGGCATCCAAGGCATGCAGGCCCCACCAGCAGGGCCGGGAGAGGAGGGAGAGCAACAGAGTCACAAGGGCGGAAGAAAGTCTCACGATTCGGTTTCGGTGCCTGGAGCCACAAGCTCTGTGCTTCTTCAGCCAGAGCATGGAGGAGGTCCGACTCCGAATCCTCTGACAGCCCGTTCGGCTCTGTCTGTCACAGCTACAGAAGAGACTGCTTCGTGCTTGTGGCTCGTTGCAGCTGGCATATCGGCAGACGATGTCTTAGCCGAAGCTCGACGTCCTCACAAGCAAAAGTCTGGAAATTTGGTCTTCCAAGGCAGCCCAGGTACCTTTGAACTGGAAGAGCTGTGCGAGGGTCTCCTGAGAGCCGTAGACGGCCTCACGCCCAGGCAAGCGGCATTTCTGGCACACCAGGCGAAGTGTGGGCAGCGCATGGTGAGCGCCGACTTGTGGCGAGGCTTCGTGCTGGAGGCATCTGCGCGACTGGAAGCGGCAGTGGACTTGCTTCAGCAGGAGGTTGGTGGGGATGCTCTGGGACAGCTCGCTGAGCAGCTTGCAGCCTTAGGCATGGAGGGAAGCCTTCGTCATGCAGAGCTTGCTGCTGTGCTGGCGCGGCATGCCGCAAGGGGGCCACGCTGGGGCTTGATGGAAGAGCTTCTTCGCTTGCTGGACCCGAACTCTGCGGGGGTTCTGCCAGCCAGACCTCTGGCGAAACTTATAGCACGAAGGGCTGAGACTTTGCGGCTTTGTGCCCCACGGCCAGTCGAGACGACTGTGAGCACCGCAATCAAGTTTCGGTTCCAGACACCTTCACTGCCAGCAGCAAGGCAGCTGCTGTCCTCTCTTTTCTGTTTGCTCACAGCCGGTGAGGTTGGCATCCGGGAGGCTGCGAGCTGCTTGGATGAGGCTGTCAGGCAGGTATCGGGTGAACAGCCTGCACTCTGGTGCTCGCAGTCCTCCAACGAAGGGGCGGTCCTGGCCGGCATCCTCGAAACCGACAAGCGTGGAACCCTTCAAGTCGTCAAGGCCTGGCAGGCATTGCGACTCTCGACGTCTGCTTCGCCAGCGGTGGCGGCCTTGAGAAGCCTGGCGGTTCTTGAGAACTCTGAGCTCCGTGTGCATGAGACCCACATTCAGGAGGCTCTGGCGCTTGGTGACTCGTTGTTGCACGGGGATCTGACCCTCGGATGTGCTCCGCAGTTTACGGTTTAGCGAGGTAAGTATATGAACCAATTCAGCACTCAAACATCCTCAGATTATAGGCCTACTCGTAAGAGCACTGGGCAGAAAATCCTGCTCAAGGTGTGCGGGTGGTAATTCTGAATTTTGATGTATCTGCTTCTGATCCTCAGGATCACTTTCATTCACTATCTCTCAGCCAACAAAAAAACGAGAAGCGGGCCTCTGGGACCCAAATCCCACAAAGCCCCAAGGATGCAGACGGCAGCCGACCGCGAGGAGGAGTTCTTCGCGGCGTTGCTCTCCGCCAGCCTGGGACCCGAGGCGTTAAGGAGCCGACTGCGTGCCACCTGCGCCACCATCGGCGACTGGACTTCACCTCGGGTTTTTGTTGGCTTTTAGGGTTTTAGGGTTTTTTTTAAGGTTTTTAAGGTTCAGGGTTTTGGGGTTTTTGTTGGGATTCGAGGCCTCTCTTTTGACATTTGAGGTCCTCTTGCAAGGGACTTTGCATTGTGAAGTACTGCGCTAGTTCAAAATCAGGAGACCCGATTCAGAACAATGCCCTTTCGAATCACGCACTTATTTCGTAGCTTGAGAAATACGTCCAGTACATCTTGGGCAAGAGAAGGCAGCTACCCAGTAGAAGTTGCCTATCCTACTCGGGAAATCACCCCACCGTCGCTAGTTGGGTTTTCATCGACCAGTATAAATGTCACCCTCCAGCTAGTATAGCAATTCTGCAAAAAGGAGTAGCAAGAGACTTCAACAATGGCCCAGGTGAAGGGGGTCGTTTCCTGCGTCTGGACCAGTTCACCGCTGCGGTACAGGGCGCGGGCATTGCGATGGCCAATGCTGATGTGCTTGAGGTCGCACGAGGATGGACATCCTCCGGTTTACTGGACACGGAGGCGCTCTTTCAGAGCCACAACTCGTGGCTCCACCGTTCCTTTTCTCACACGCTACCACCAGCACCAAGTGTGAGCCAGCTTGAGCTGAGCAGGTTGGACTTGCCAAGCTATGTCCTCTTTGCTTGTCTCGATGTGGCGGCCCAAGGGCACGTGAGCAAGGATGTTGTGTGCCAGTTGGAGACGTGGCCGTCTGCGTTGTCAAAATCTGTGCTCGATGCGCTGGTGCTCTGTGACCCCACCGCGCGAGGTGTCATCACATATGCCGACTTTCGGCGATTCTGTGGCTATCTTGATCGGCAGCGACCCGACCTCACCGAGGTGACCGAGTTCAGATCAAACGTCAGGGCGGCCATCTTCAAGGGAGGCGGCTTTGGAGAGGGAGGCCCTGGAGTATCTGTTGTGGGCAGAGGCCTGGATGCTGAGGCCGACCTTGCGGGTTTGGTTCGAGTCCTGACCAGCTCGATGGGTGCCTCCCACAGCGTAGCAGAGACGCTCGCCGGGGCCTTCCTGGCAGTGAAAGAACAGAAGCCCTCTTATAGAGCGTTTCTCACAATGCTGCGCCGTTCTTGGGGTCTCCTACGACGACATGCAGATGATTTGTTCAGGGCCTGTTTCGCGGCCTCGGTTGACCTGAAGGAAGTGCTGCAAGAGTACTCGCCCAACTCAACCTCGCTGCCTGTGGGCGCGGCGGTTGGCTGGGAAAGCCTGGTGGCAGCTTTGTCTGCGAAAGGCGTCGATTTGTCCCAGCTGGACACGGAGGACGTCATCGCTGCCTTGGATGATTCGGGCAAGCGCTTGCTCGTGCTGACCGAGCTGGCTGCCGGCTTTGAAACCTTCCAGGCCAGGCACGGCCCCGTCTTGGAGAGCCTCGCCAAGCTGGCCCAGGATGATCTGCAAGGCTTAGTTCGGTTGCAAAAAGCAACCCTGGCCTACAGGGCCCCGGTCTTCACACCAGAGGCTTGCGAAGTCGGCTCCGTGTGAAAGCGCGCTTCCTGGGGAAAAGTCCTCTTCGCTTCCGATTGCGAAGGCTTACGATGCCTTATGTAGTCTCCACCAAAATGTCATGTGAGATTTTCCGACAGAGTGGCATGCGATTACCCCTGCGAGGACTGCAGCGTGCATGTACGGCCTTGATGCCGAGCTCATCAAGGCTGGTGGACGAGGGGAGTGGGAATCTGCATTGCTGGAAGGGTTGCGGGATCTGCGTGCTACTCGATGGGCCGATGGTATTCAGTGGCTTGGAGATACCCTCCTCAGCAACTTTGGCGTGAATCCGACCTGGGATGGTCGCGAACATACCTCCAAGCGCCTCATCGATGCTGCAGACCGCTTGCTAGAAAAGCTCGGGGATCCATATGCGCAGTATTACCCGCCGGAGGAATGGACTGAGATGACTCAGGTTGCCGAGGGCGGCGATGTTGCCGGCATTGGTGTTGCTTTCTCTCAAGACACAACTCGTGGGAGGGGAGGGTCTCCAGAGGTTGTGGCAGTCATCAACGGGAGCTCAGCAGCATCTGCGGGCGTCATGGTTGGTGACCGTTTGGTGGAAGTGGATGGGCAATCCGTGCGGGTGCCAGCAGATGCGGCCCGGTGGATTCCTGGCCGACCAGGCACCTGGGCCAACGTGAAGTTCCAACGCAAAGCCTCCGAAGGAGGCTCATCAGCCACTTGCCTGGTGTCGTAGCTGTCGTAGCTCAGTGCAACGATCAGTTTTTTGCTGTCCGCAATGAAGTGCGTCATTGGGTGTATCTGAATTCGCTCGCTCGTTTGGTCTCAGGAGTACTCTCTGACTTTGCAGAGACAGCCGATGCGAGTTGAGCCCGTGGAATTTCGAGTTCCATCCCATGGTGTGGGTGCCTGAGTTGCAAGGGGGATACAATCGCGAGAAAGCATCCTTTAGGTCCATGGGTTTAGGGTTTAGGGTTTAGGGTTAGGGTTTAGGGTTTAGGGTTTAGGGTTTAGGGTTTAGGGTTTAGGGTTTAGGGTTTAGGGTTTAGGGTTTAGGGTTTAGGGTTTAGGGTTTAGGGTTTAGGGTTTAGAATGAAGGTTACATTCGGATCATCAGCTTCAATGGGCCAGATGTGCTGAAGCCGCTTCACCGAACGCTGCAAGATGTGGCCAGGCCTGTGCCCTGCAATCAGCAAGTGGGGGTTTTACGATATTAGCGGTACTTCATTGGGATCCTTACTGTAAGGGGATCTTATACTATTTGGGGTCTAAACTAGGGCCCCTTACTATCGAAAAAACCCAAGTTGAGCATGTTGTTGTAGGGGCGGGCTGCTTATTCCTTCTGCTGCTATGTAAGGCAAGTGATGGTACTTTGACAACACTCCTTAGTAGGGATCAAGGTACCCCCCTTTTATTCCTGTTAAGGACTGTTAGTATACGGGGGAACATCCCAAAGTGAGCGTTCTTTCGCCACGGCTCCTCGCAGGCAGCGGCTTCGTTACCTCGTCTTGGACTTGCGTGACAATCGCAGCTGGTCTTTTGCAGCAGACCGACCTGACAAAGTAAGATGACGCCAGCCAGTAATATACTGATGCAATCATAGAAGTAATTTGATTGAAGAAGATAATCATATATAACAAAATAACTTTAATATATATATATATATATATACATATATGTAAAATATACATAATTCTTCCACAGACTGTGGCCTGCGAGAGCAGACGCTTGTGGTGAGTTCTAGGTGGCGGCCGCTTGAGCGATGCACAGCGCGCCACTTCGGAGCTGCAGCAACAGCTCATGGACAAGAGGATAGAGGCCCTACATCTATTGCGCTTGCGATGTGGGGTTTGTGCTGCTGCTTTTAGGCTTCATGAAATGACTGCAAGGGCATGTGCGAAGTTCTGAATTATGAAGGGCTCCTGTCGTTCATCTATTCGCACACAGAAGCGCGTTCGGGCCTCGCATCCCGGAAAGCGAAGCTCTCTGCCTTTTTTGGGGAGGGTCAGGGTGGAGGCGGAGGCGCTCCTTTCAAAAGGGACCCCAAAAGGATTTGAGGTTTCATTGTTTTTTCGGGGCCTGTCGACGGGGTGCATGGGGGCTTTCGCGGCCCCATGAACATCAGATGCGGGGCTCTCTGGCAACCCAAAAATCCCTAAAACCTATAAACCCTACAAGCCCGCAGTATGGCTGGTCTTCCTGGCGGGTGGACGTTCCTTGCTTATCGAACCCGCGGGCTGGTGCGGCCGCACCATTCGCGCACTGGGGCTCGCTGCGGTTGCGCGGTTCGTTCAGCCCGTTAAGCTGCAGGGTTGTGTGCATAGCTTGTTTCTTACCATTTCTTTCTCCGAACGTGGTTCGCACTCCCCCCCCCCCCCCCCCCATCGTGCGACAGAAGCTGCCGAGCGGAGAAGCAGGTCCCGTGAGGGACACGGAGGTTGCAAGAGGGACGAAGGACGCGGAAGTTTAAGCAGCACGAGGATGTTGGTGTCGCGAGTGCCAAATCACAAAGGATCGAATTGAAGCCCTACACACGCTCCAAAAATCATCCTAAGACCTGTCCAAGCACCACATAATCCATCCCCCTAATATGAAACGGGGGGGCCCCCCTCCCCCCGCCCTTTAAGAAACTCGAAAAGTATTTTTTATTATTAGGGGGGGTATTCTTATCGAAATGTCATAATTCATTAGACTTCAGGGTTACTCAAGTAATCAACTTAAGTAAGTGTGGTGTAAACTGAAAGAGAGAAAGAGAAAGATAGAGAGAGAGAGACAGAGAGATAGACCTAGACACCCAAGCCTAAACCCTCTGAGGGTTTTATTGGTGTTGAGGGGTTTCTTGGAGGCCTGAACCCCCCCCCCCCCCCCCCCCCCCCAAATTCGGAATAGGGTTTTAAAGGCGGGGTTGGTTTCGGCAGGATTTTCCGGAAAGTGTTTTTATTATTCGGGGTCCATTTAGTAAAAGGGGGAAGCGATTTCGCCACACCGTAGAGAACAAGAACAACTACCGTCTCATAAAGTTGGCAACATACTACGGAGCCATGCTCCGACGGAGCCTGTCACCACGGAGGCAACGGCATAGAATACAGCATGTAGAGTCGCAGAACCGCGAATCCGTACGTGACTATACCCTATAACCCCTAAACCTCAGAGCTGAGCACGATAGCCGACCCCGAACAGCATCGAACAGATTCCTGGCCTGCTTCAGCGAGTGCGAGAGTTGAAACATCAAAAGCCTGCAAAACTTTGGGGAAACCCTAAACCCTAAACCTAAACCCTAAACCCTAAAGGGGCTGGCCGTGCTGGTGAACGCGAAGAGCGCCTCAGCTTCTGAGATGATGGCAGCGGAGCTTCGGCGGGCGAAGGCCTTGAGGGTTCGGGGTCGGTGTAAGGGCTTGGGCCTACGGCTTCTTAGTGGGGAAGGAGGGAGTTAGGTACCTTACCATCCTTACCCTTAATGTTGACCTCGTAATAATAAACCCCCCCCCCCCTTCAATCAAACCCCCCCAAATAGAGTAGGGCCCCTTTGAATAAGGATTCCTTTCCTTAGAGCCCCCATTCAATCAAACTCCCCCAAAAAAAACCAGCCCCGACTTGGCGTACTTTATTCCCAGGGCTTTATTATTGCGGCCGGGACCCCTGGCGCACTTTAATATCAGGGGGTTCAATAATACGAGCTTAACATTAAGGCACCACATGGGGGGGGAATCTTCCCCGACTCAGAACCAGAGTAGGTTTGGCCCTGTGCAGTGTGCAGGGCCGAAACACCATGGCTAGAGGTGCTCAAGTTTGTTTCTTGGAAATGTTTCGAGATGTTCGTTTGGCCTGGGCATGGCTCTGTTCTCGGAGCTGCAAGAATCATAGGGAATCATGGAAGCCACGAGGAGGAACTTCTCGATGAGTAAACACCGGAGGGGACCTGAGTTCAGATTTCGCATCTGCCTTCCAAAGACCTGAATACCATTCACTCTATACCCTACCCAAAAGAAGGCTAAAAAAGGAACCTAGTCCAAACGGGGCTTCACCTGATCTAGTTGTTGTGAAGCCCTACCTGCATGGTCAGTAGCCGCCCTTCTCACTGACGCCATGGCTGTCGAAGCTGGACAGGAGGCATACCCGAACCTCATCGCCAAGTATCTGCTGGATGGCTGGTGCATGCTAAACGAGTCATGCGCCACACACTTGACCCCCTTGCTGCGGTCGCGGGAGGGCCGGGAGCTGTGCGTGGCCTGTGAGGCGATGCGGGCGCAGGAGGGTGGTGGTGGTGGCGGTGGCGGTGGTGTGCCTCCAGCTCCGAAGCTCTTCCTCCCAGAGCGCAGGGCTCGCGGCTCCGAAGCAGAGGCCGGAAACAGTGGAAATGGAGGAAAGCCCAAGGCGCAGGCAGCACAGGCGCACCAGCCACGAGCTGCACCGGCAGATGGTCTCTGGGAAGTTCTGGTGCAAGGCCCGGACTTGAGGTTCTCTTGCACACGCCTCTCGTCGCGCGATGCGCGCGACAAGCGGCGCCTGCGCCTCTTGGCAGAGACCTTGGCGGTCAAAGTGCGCCTGGGCGCCGCAGTCGGAGTCGACGCCGGGCTCCTCCGTGAAGCCACCGCTGAGATTTGTGGGAAGCTGGGGCATTGTTGGTAACCATTCTGCATGTTTATGAATACTTAAACCACTCTTATAAACTGGACTTAAACTCAATAAGGAGCAACAATGATCATGTTTAATAGTGCCCCAACAATGGTGCAGGAAGCTGGCAGACAAAGTCATCTTGCCCAAGTTCGCCAGCGGCAGCACTCAAATCGCGGAGCCATCCAGAGGGCAAATCAGCATCGCGAGCGAAGGTGTCACGTTTTCGATCCCAGAAGAGGATTGCGTACAGGTCCCAAGCGCCCGCGTCACGCCTGAAAGCCTTGCGGCCGTCATCTGGGAGCACCTGGAGGCCGTGGCCGTGCCAGCACTTCAGCAAGTGCCCAGCCTCAGTGAGGTCTCCTCGGCGCCTTGGTGGCTTGAAATCTGTCTCACCGATGCTGGCGGTCTCGGGCAGGAGACGTGCATCCGCCGGCAGCTCAGGAGGACAAAGTGAGTCGAAGTGGCCAAAAGACATGCAAAACAAGAGCCCCGCCCGCTTTGCGCTGAAAACACGTCAACACATTGCCAACACCACATATATATATATATATATATGTGTGTGTGTGTGTATACACACGCACACACGTTTTGTGTTAATAACTGTTTTGTACACAGGTATATATACATATATCTATATATATATATATATCTATCTATACACAAGTATATGAAGTAACCTGAGACTCCTCCCTGGACCAGGTCCCCGTGGTCTTCTGCGGGGACGGAGTGCCGAAGACCTTTGGGAAAGCCGAGGAGCAGGAGCGACCTGAGTACATGTCGTTTCATGCATGTTATCCGTTTGTATATATATATATATATACACAATCATCGCTACAGTAGATTAAATATTATTAAGCATCATCATCTGGTAAAGAATTTTTCAGTGAGATATATAACCAAACACACAAATACACACACACACACACACACACACACACACACACACACACACACATATATATATATATGGAAACACACACACATAGATACTATGCTATTATTATGTCATTACGCAGTTATGTAGTAAGCACGTCAGTATGACAAGCCTCCGACCCCAAACTCGGCCTAATTCAAGGGACTGAAGGAGGCACCCTTAAAAGGCACCTTACTGTAGGGATTATTCAAGGGTTATTCGGGGGGCTACTTAGGTATGTAGGTTGGGATGTTCCCCCTTATACTAACAGTCCTTAATAGGGATTATCATAGGGCGTACTGTAGTCCCTGTTAAGGACCGTTAGCATAAGGGGGAAAAACCCAAGATATAGGGACTATTATACTTATTAATGGCATGCCCACTGAGCTCAGAGGAGGCCATTGAGCTCAGTGACGGAGGCGCGCTGCTTCTGACAACTTCGCGCTGGGCCGCGGAGGGCTTCTCTGGCGTGGCTGCTGCGCCTTGGCCTTGTTGGTGTGGGTTTGGGGGTGTTTTTCCTCATACCAAGAGTCCTTACTGGGGAGTATACTCGGGGGTACGAACATCCCTATGAAGGAATGTTAGCATAAGGGGGAACATCCCAATGTGTTGTGTTGTTTGTGTTTGTTGTCTCCCACCGATGTTCTGGGCGCGTGGTTGAGTTCAAGGGCTCCAAGCGACACATTGTTAAAGGTGGAGTCTCGGGTGTGGCAAAGTATGCAACCTTCCTGAAGAGAGCTTTTGCTGGGCTTCTGAGGATGTAGCCTGCGGCTGCTCAAGCAACCTCCAGTCAGCTGCATGTGAGACCACCGACTGGTGCCTTGGGAAGGTTATCCTGGAAATTTCGAGTTTTGGGCGTTTTTTTGCCTTTCTGGATGTTGGCTACCTAAGAGGGAGTCTTCGGCCACCTAAGAGGGAGTCTTCTGGGAAACACGGCAAATCGAGTTTTCAGTACCTCTCGCCATTTCGCAACAGGTGTTCGGTGTGTGTGTGTCTGTGTGTCTGTGTGTGTGTGTGTGTGTGTGTGTGTGTTGTGTGGTGTGTGTTGTGTGTTGTGTGTTGTGTGTTGTGTGTTGTGTGTTGTGTGTTGGGATGTTCCTCCGTATACGAACAGTCCGCAATAGGGATTAAAGTCCCCTTACATCCCCTTTACTATAATCCCTAGTAAGGTAAGGACGGTTAGTACACGGGGGAACATCCCAAGAGTTGTGTGTGTGTCCCTAAACCCTAAACCCTAAACCCTAAAACCCTAAACCCTAAACCCTAAACCAGACATATACAGCCTAGTTCCCTGCAGAATGTCCGAAAGGTCAGCTAAGCGGGTGGCAAAAAAAACACCCCAAACCCTAAACCCTGGGCTTTTGTCGACCCCTGTGCAAGGGAGCACTGCATTCGCTGCGCGGCCTCCATAGTTGCTGAGGGGGGTGCTGCGACTTCCGCCAGCTGGAAAAGACTCCCATGCTGAGGGGATGTTCCCCCTTATACGAACAGTCCTGAATAGGGAATATAGTACCCCCTATTATAATCACTAGAATAGGGAATATAGTACCCCCTATTATAATCCCTAGGAAGGACTGTTAATATAAGAGGGGACATGCATGGGGTGTTCTACCTTGGAACACTTTGATTGCAGATTCTTTCTATATTGGAATCAACCACCCGCCCCCACGCCCGTATGTGCGGCTTTGACCCAGCGGCGGGCAGCAAATTGCATGGAATGGCTGAGTGCTTCGTTCCTTGAGGTCCGGGAGTCCAGCCAGGGTCTTCAGCATCTGCCTCAGTGAATGGAAGGCACTTGCCATCTTGAACCATGGGGAGGAAATATTCGGCTTGGCTCAGGTCCATCATCATGGATAAGATCCACGCGGCGGGATTGTTTTGGCGATAGTCAAGATGGCCTGCGCGAGATGAAAAAGTGATTTCGGCGTTTAGCGCCGCATGTTGCTGCGGAGGAAAATCCCCTTTGTGGTACTTTACTAATAACTTTAGATCTTTAGCCTTTTTGGGTTGGGTTTCTTAATAAGGCGGCTAAAAATTTAATTTATAGCTACCCTCCTAAGTGCAGCCAAGTCCCATGGTCTCTCATGGTGCGGCTTGTGTACTGTCGTTGAGGCAGGTCGTCCAGCACGTCAAGATCCTCTCTACTGACGTTTCAAGCGCGTCCAGTGAAAGACAAGTTTCCCTCAACCAATCTCTCAATTCCAAAAACTTCCATCATGATCTTGCAAATCCCCTGCCTGAGTTGCTCCGAGAGGATTTCCTTTGGTCTCTCTCTCTTTTGGCTTCTTTTGCAGAATCACTTTAATCTTTCTCATAGTTCCGTTGAGCTCATCCTCCTTTCCCCTTCATTCTCCGGGATCTTTGGGTGGGGGTACACAAGACGGCCCAACATTCCAGCTCGTGAGATTTGTGGCTACAGTGTTGCTTCGTTTGTTTTCCGAGGCTGCGGTTCTCTCTCTCCTTTGGCATGTCGGTTTTGGGGTAAAGGCACGGTTTAAGCACTTCGTGCTCTTCAACACCCCGTGATCTCCCTACACTTGCCTGACTCAGTGGCGCACAGCGGCACTCCTGATCTTGGAGGGGGGGTCGGGTGGGGTGGCATGTTGTTCACCGGAACTTCCTCGGCATGCAGTTTTGGCAGATCCCTCTGCGTTGAAAACGAACTGCGAGCCCGCTGATTTTGTCCATAAGAACCGCGGAGTCGAAACCCTAAACCCCGCAGTACTGTGGCTAGTCGGGTGGCTAAAAAACTAAACCCTAAACCCTGAACCCTGCACCCTGAACCCTAAACCCTAAACCCTAAACCCTAAATCCATGGAACATCGGTAGCAAGGTTCAGGATGCCTCCATGCAGCCGCTCTTTTGTCAGTCAAAGTCGGAACCGGAAGAAGAGTCAAGCACGTGCTTCATGTTCTCGCTGCAGAAGTTGAGGTGGGATTCTTTCTGCTTCTTGTGACTTGGGCTCTTGGCTTTCCCGGTCCCCAACCCTAAACCCTAAACCCTCAACAAACAACCCTTATAAACCCTATATTTGGGGAGGCTTTGACCAGCTCAAGTCGCCACAAAACCTCTGTGAATCCATGGTAAAAAGGATGGAATCTCAAGTCCCAGCAAAGTCACGGGGACACAGAGTTTAGGGTTTGGGGTTGGGGTTAAGCATGAGCACGCGCTTGTGCTCCACAGTAGCTGCGTCTCAAGTCTCCCCAGGCATCATCCCGAGCAGAAAATATGTGACTCGCTTTTGGGCTGCGGAGAGCATGGACGAATTAGCACAAGCAATCAAGCCCACGAGACATCGGTTTTGCATCAACCCTGCAAATCCGCGGTGTCCATTCCACGTGAGGTTGCAATGTAACTTTAAGGCCTGTTCCCACACTGCTGTATGTGAAAGCCACACATGCAGCTGACGGTCAAAGCGAGCCCCTTTGCCGAACTCTGCCCGCAACGGAGAAGCCTAAAAGCAACGAGCAATGAACACACAGACCGCATCAGCTTTCGTATGAATGCATGGCGTCCGCATGGTAGTTGCTTCAATCGACACTCGCGGCGCCGTTCTGGGAGGCACAGTCTTTGTGTCAATGTCGGCTGGGGCCTTCAAGTTTTCAGTTCATGTCCATTCATGACTCTGCTGCGGAGATGTGGTAAGACGCGCACGCCAGGCAATGATCGCGAGCGATTTCGCGCCATCATCCTTGGCAGTTCTGCACTCTGATGGCCCGTTCTTTGGCTGCAACGTGGCATCTGCTTGGACACACTAAGCAACCCTAAAACCCTAAACCCTAAAATGGGGTTCCCTCACGAAACCCATGGGACAGTGTGCACCCCGCCTGGCTTGTCCGAGTGTGAGCGATTAGACCCCATTTAGGGAACATGACGATGCCATAGGCGGCCTCCGATTGGCACCAGAGATGACATCCGACTGAAGGTGGGCAGGGCGCGCACACCAAGGGCTGAAGGTATCTGCTGAAAGTTGAAGCTCAGTTTGGGTGGTTCTCTACATTCGGGTCCCTTTCAGGGTCTGTTTTCACAAGCTGTCGTTCTTTCCCTAAACCCTGAGGCCCTAGACCCTAAACCCTAAACCCTAGGATCTGGTTATGGGCGGCGTCAGTGTATCATATTGTTCCCACTTCTATTGTGTTGTGGCATATGCAGAGATGACTACCGGAGCCTTGCCTGCGTGTGCGCTAGCGTGAGAGTCGAAACCCTAAACACTAAACCCTAAACCCCCGAATTTAGAGAACCACCCAATTGTGTTGGGTCTTAGCCCCCAGGGCCCCAGGGTCGACATGGCAAAGGCCTTGCAACTTCGTGACTGCGGTTTACGGTTTAGGGTAGTTGCGGTTTAGATGGGGTTTTGAGTTTTACGGAGCTGTGGACCACTGAGCTGCTAATGAGCATGAACATGTGTGATGTTCCAGTGCGGTCTAAATTACTCCGCTGATTGCTTCGCGGACTGGTAGAGCATCTAAAAGCTCCGCTAACGCTAAACCCTAAACCCTAAATCCTAATCATCTTCGAGCTCCACTTGGCAACTTAAGCAGTGGCTTTTCGTGAGACACCTCTTTGAACATTCCATACTGTTGATGATAAAAGACATAAAGCAATACTAGTCATCAGATAAATAAATAAAAACTAGATGGATAAATGAATACATTAATAAGTAAATTAATAAATATATAGAATTGTATATAGTAAATTATTTCATGCATGGAGTACATTGGAAAAGCCCATTTGGGCATGTTTCATGTTGCGTCGTATTGTTTTTTGACAAGCAAATCCTTGGGGGATTGCGGCTTTGCAAGAGAAGATCAACCACTTTCCAGCACCCTTTTTGGAAATCGTTTCTTGGGAGCACCTCGAGAGAGTTCCGCCGCCACAAAGTTTGGGTGTTTTACGGCGTTGTGGGATCGGAGACCAGTTCGATCTTCGCAAGCACTTCTGCTTGAGAGTTGAAATTTATTTTCCTCTTAGAGTGAGCTTGCACCTTACAAATGGGGTGAGGAAACTACCTCGCATAAGTCAGCGATGGCCGCCTTGTCGGGCGCGCAGAATTCAAGCATAGGATACCGGTTCCTGCATGGGGTTTCCGACACGTGGGGTCCCTTAGCCGGATATGGGGCTCCTAATCATTACGAGATCTACTATTTGGGGCCTGGGGGGGGGTCTACTTGGGGGCCCCTTGTTCTCGTGAAGTCTAATATGTGACTTCAGACGGGTGCCCTTGCCCGAGATGGCCTGCACTGCAGCAGGATCAGAAATTTCCAGCGCCCGACGTTTTGACATCGCCCGGACCGGTCGCGCACTTGGGGTTTAGGGTTTAGGGTTAGGCAAGCACAGAATGTCCAGGATCCTGGAAAGTTTGCAAGTTGAACTAGCGATGCACGCAAGGCAGTTGGTTTCATTTTCCGTGTTGGGAGTTCGTGTTTCTTCAACGCAGCGTGCGATTCATTTCGGCGCGCTACCGTTGAAGCATGTGCTCACATGGGTGGAGTCTACGGCCATAAGTAATGGCTACCGTGTCAGTGGACGAGGCCCGTTTCCAGTGGGACAGGGACAATGCCAGCAGAATTTGCTTCGATCGACCGCCCCTTGGCCGAAGGAAGCTGCGCGACGTTGGCACAACTTGTGCCAAGTGCCCTGATAGTGGCCTGATGCATGGGTTTAGAATCGAGGTACATGCAATTTGGAGGACATGTGGGCATGACCTGTGTTCGTCGTCCGCGTGTCTTACGCGTGCATGGCATGGCGAGGCAACATGCAAAATCATGGTGCGCTTCAGTCCTGTGCACTTGGCCTTCGGCAGGAGAGTCATCTACACATGCCGATTACAAGCCGCCGCCGCTCCCGACATTGCAGAATGCCAGCTGCAGAGACCTTGTGCAGAGGGCAGACAGGGTAGAGGACGGACAGTCGCGAAGGCAACCATGTCATTCCGATATGTGACGTATGTCATGTCGCACCACAAACTGACAACTGCATCGTATTGGAGATTTGTCGCTCCCTTTGACTCCAGGAGCCTTTCCCTCAGTTCCGCTTCGAAAGCCGTCTGCAGCTTACAGCTGTGCTTCCTCGTGGGCAGTCTCACAGTGCCGGGAACAACCATCGAGTATATGTCTGTGGTACATGATATGTATATATCTGTGTGTATTCATCTGGTTCTCTGATCTATCTTTCTCTAAATACATAAATATATAAGTATTTAGATATACAAATGCATGTGCATTATATTTGTTTGATATTATATAGAGACTCTGGTATAGTATACAATCTTACCGGGGGGTACAACACATAGGGCACACTTGGGAGTTGCAAATGGGTTAGCACGCGCCATGGCCCAGGAGAATCCGAGAGCCATGGCCGATTTAAAGCTCCACCCTTGGATGCGTATCGGTCGGCCATCCTCCCCCCGCGTTCTGAGTTTTGGGAGGACTCGCATGTCTGGCAACTTGTGATTTGACGCTGGTGTGGATGTCCTTTGCCTAAGTTGCGTGTGTTGCAGGGTATAATAGGGTATACAAGCCAAGCTGATACGACGCGCAAGGGAAGAATGTCACCTACATCTGAGCAACACATAAGGGAAGAAGGCCTATAAGCTGCTTCCACTTCAGCGGGGTGTTCGACCGTCTGAATGCTTGAACAGGACTGCCGCTTCCGAGACAGACATGCGCCTGGATGCAGTATGCATGTGGAGTGTGGTCATGATGAGGGGCATCAAGCTGACGAACTCCACCAGCACGAAACCTGAACATAAGGCTTTGGTGCTAGCCGTATGATGCAACCTGGGCTCAGCTACTTCACATCCCTCTTGATACTTGTAACCTTGGAATTCCCATTTCTTTCTGTCTTGGTTGTTGCCATGTGCGGGCATGAACCCCTTTCTTGCTTGGAGAACGATGATCACGAATCCCCACCGCATCCAGTCAACTGAAATGCTGTGATGTCTTGTAACGCTCTGTCCTTTGACCGTTCGTCTTGACCGTTTGGATACGCAGGGCCGTGTGTTCTGTCATCACTGTGCTACTGCTTTCTGTCGGCTACGGTGCTGCCTTCGCACACACACACACACATGCGGTATGTTGTGGTTGCAGTAAAGCAGCCCAAAGGCGAATGTGGGCTAATGTTGACTATTGAATTATGAGTTGTGGCGTGTGAAGTCACAAATTGCCCATTGCAAAGGTGCCATTCCAGAGCACATCTTGCGCCCACGAATCCTTCCGAGCACCACCCTTAGCAGACTTGAGGCCTCCTGCGACAAGGGACGCTTGCCTGACTTATGTGGTCCATGCCAGAGTCTCGTCACGTCATGTTTGGAGACATATATGCATGTTCCCTATTTGCAGGAGACCACCCTAAACCCTAAATCCTAAACCCTAAACCCTAACAGAATCCTTTGCGATGCACTTCTTCGCATCCTGGAACTACTGAGACCCATTTTTTTCTGCGCAGCTTTGCTGAGGGCATGGTTGCAGTAGCGGTTACAGTTCCGACAGCTCAGCGATTACAGCTCGAATACCCTCTTCTTCCAAGCTGTGCTACAGAGAGATCAGGGGTTCCGATCATGGAAGTAGCTTAGCAGGCTTCCCATGTGCATTCCACTTCCAAAACCAGCTAAGGAGCCCGAGAGGCATACGCCAGTTCCTTTCAGAGGCGAATCTACTACGCAGGCAGAATACAAGGCTCCACCGCCAGATGCTGTGAAAGCATCCTTTGTGAATTACCCTGTGCCAAGTATTCCGGCACCCAGACAGACCTCGTTTGAGGGCCAGTCCAGTGCTCACTGCGATTACAGACCGCCACCATTGGACGCATTTCGACAGAGGTCGGAGTTTCATGCGGCAACGGGAAGCAGAGAGGCGCAGCCCAAGATCCCCTTCCTGGGCGTGTCCTCCACGCATGCCGATTATGCTGCACCTCCAGCGTCTGCATTTGCAGACCATGCGTCTTCCGCAGACCTGCCTGTGCGGCAGTCCATTGTGCCGAACCTTGTCCACCCGTCCGCACGTCTGGAACCAGTGTCGACGACACATCATGATTTCCAGCCGCCGAGTCTAGAGCTACTACGGCAGGCACTGCTGCAAACTGGAATCGAGGAGCCACCAAGTGCTTTACCTCGCCCCAAGTTTGAGGGAGAGTCGTGTGCCCACAGAGACTTCAAGCCCCCTCCCAGTGTCATTCCAGTGTTCCGAACATCTGCCACGCAAGGGGCACCTGGTGTGCAGGAGCTGTTACAGCCGGCTGAATTCGCAGCAAGCGAATCGACCACACACCATGACTACCGAGCCCCGCCACTTGAGTCACGCCACCCACCCGATTCGGTCAGTGATGAGCGATGTCCGATGCCAAGGACACGCTTCCAAGGCGAGTCGACTACACAGGCAGACTATAAGGCACCGCCGCTAGATGCAATGAAGTTGTCGATGGCAGATTGTCAGGGGCCGACTGCACTTGCCAGCGATTCGAGCGCAAAGTTCGAGGGCCAGTCGAGGACTCACGCTGATTTTCAGCCTCCGCCACTGGAAGCTCTTCGATTGCCAAATGCATCGTTGCCTGTGGTTTGTTCGGAGCTGCAGCCCAAGATCCCCTTCTTGGGCGTGTCCTCCACGCATGCCGATTATGCTGCACCTCCAGCGTCTGCATTTGCAGACCATGCGTCTTCCGCAGACCTGCCTGTGCGGCAGTCCATTGTGCCGGACCTTGTCCACCCGTCGGCACGTCTGGAACCAGTGTCGACGACACATCATGATTTCCAGCCGCCGAGTCTAGAGCTACTACGGCAGGCACTGCTGCAAACTGGAATCGAGGAGACACCAAGTGCTTTACCTCGCCCCAAGTTTGAGGGAGAGTCGTGTGCCCACAGAGACTTCAAGCCCCCTCCCAGTGTCATTCCAGTGTTCCGAACATCTGCCACGCAAGGGGCACCTGGTGTGCAGGAGCTGTTACAGCCGACTGGATTCGCAGCAAGCGAATCGACCACACACCATGACTACCGAGCCCCGCCACTTGAGTCACGCCACCCACCCGATTCGGTCAGTGATGAGCGATGTCCGATGCCAAGGACACGCTTCCAAGGCGAGTCGACTACACAGGCAGACTATAAGGCACCGCCGCTAGATGCAATGAAGTTGTCGATGGCAGATTGTCAGGGGCCGACTGCACTTGCCAGCGATTCGAGCGCAAAGTTCGAGGGCCAGTCGAGGACTCACGCTGATTTTCAGCCTCCGCCACTGGAATCACTCATGTTGAGCTTGAAGGCAGAAGTCACCGGATTGGAAGAAGACGCGAGCAAGTTGACTTCCGTGCATTCTGCATCTTTCGAGGGAGTTTCAACTACTCACCATGATTTTCCGCGGCCGCCTATGGAAGCATACCGCAGGGAGCCTAGCAAGCATGGCAGGGATCACCAGGACATATTCTCGGATCCTCCACCTCTGCAGAACTTGTGGGAGTGGCTCAGCAGTGCTGAGCAGCACACAGGCCCCGAGCCGGAGCCGCAGCAAGCAAAGCATGTGCACAAAGCAAAGCAGGACTCTTCCAGTCAGACAGGATATGACCACCAAGTACATGCAGCAGGCGCCGGGCAACATGGTGCTGGGCACCATGGCGCCGGGCACCATGGCGCCGGGCACCATGGCGCCGGGCACCATGGCGCCGAGACTGAAACTGGCCAGCGCGCGGTTGTGCGCTTTGAGGGCGAGTCCTCCATGCAGCTTCACTACCAAGCACCTCCGCTAGATGCTCTCAGGTCCACCACAGCGGACATTCGGTCTCGTCAGGAAGAGATGCAGCACAGCTCCGTTAGAGCTGCAAGGTTCGAGGGCGAGTCCACAGCGCACAGAGACTTTCAAGCACATTCTGTGCATGGTCTGTCGGACGTGCAACGCACCTCACTGGATGAGAGGAGCTTCGTCAATAGTCTGCCGTTCGAAGGCGAGTCGTCAATGCGAGCCCATTACCAAGCTCCACCGCCAGAAGCCCTGAGAATCACATCCTGCGATGCCCAGTCACAGCGCCACATTGAATTGCAGCATGCTTCTGGTCAGGCAGCGAAGTTTGAAGGCGAGTCTACTGCACACAGCCACTTTCGGGCGTACCCGGGGGAGGCCATGCAGTTTGTGGAGCCATCAACTCGTTCGGAAAGTGCGGGTCCAGCTGCTCCCTTTGAAGGGGAGTCGTCCATGCGGGCTCATTACAAGGCACCGCCAATGGATGCTCTCATGGCATTTGTGGATGTTCGGTCTCGTCATGGTGATCTGCAGCACAGCTCCGTTGAAGCTGCCAAGTTCGAGGGCGAGTCCACATCACACAGAGACTTTCAAGCACATGCTGTGCATGGTCTGTCGGACGTACAACACATGTCACTTGACGATAGGAGCTTGGTCAATAATCTGCCGTTCGAAGGCGAGTCGTCAATGCGAGCCCATTACCAAGCTCCACCGCCAGAAGCCCTGAGAATCACATCCTGCGATGCCCAGTCACAGCGCCACATTGAATTGCAGCATGCTTCTGGTCAGGCAGCGAAGTTTGAAGGCGAGTCTACTGCACACAGCCACTTTCGGGCGTACCCGGGGGAGGCCATGCAGTTTGTGGAGCCATCAACTCGTTCGGAAAGTGCGGGTCCAGCTGCTCCCTTTGAAGGGGAGTCGTCCATGCGGGCTCATTACAAGGCACCGCCAATGGATGCTCTCATGGCATTTGTGGATGTTCGGTCTCGTCATGGTGATCTGCAGCACAGCTCCGTTGAAGCTGCCAAGTTCGAGGGCGAGTCCACATCACACAGAGACTTTCAAGCACATGCTGTGCATGGTCTGTCGGACGTACAACACATGTCACTTGACGATAGGAGCTTGGTCAATAATCTGCCGTTCGAAGGCGAGTCGTCAATGCGAGCCCATTACCAAGCTCCACCGCCAGAAGCCCTGAGAATCACATCCTGCGATGCCCAGTCACAGCGCCAGATTGAATTGCAGCATGCTTCTGGTCAGGCAGCGAAGTTTGAAGGCGAGTCTGCTGCACACAGCGACTTTCGGGCCTACCCGCGGGAGGCCATGCAGTTTGCGGAGCCATCAACTCGTTCGGAAAGTGTGGGGCCAGCTGCTGCTTTTGAGGGGGAGTCGTCCATGCGGGCTCATTACAAGCCGCCACCACTGGATGCTCTCGTGGCCTCTATGGACGTTCGGTCTCGTCATGGTGATCTGCAGCACAGCTCCGTTGAAGCTGCCAAGTTCGAGGGCGAGTCCACAGCACACAGAGACTTTCAAGCACCTGCTCCTCAAGATCTGTCAGATGTACAATGCAAGTCACTTGACGATAGGAGCTTGGGCAACAATCTGCCGTTCGAAGGCGAGTCGTCAATGCGAGCCCACTACCAACCTCCTCCGCTGGAGGCCCTGAGAATCACGTCATGCGACGCCCAACAGCGCCAGCTCGAATTGCAGCATGCTTCTGGTCAGGCAGCGAAGTTTGAAGGCGAGTCTACGGCACACAGCGACTTTCGGGCCTACCCGCGGGAGGCCATGCAGTTTGTGGAGCCATCAACTCGTTCGGAAAGTGTGGGTCCAGCTGCTCCCTTTGAAGGGGAGTCGTCCATGCGGGCTCAGTACAAGCCACCACCGCTGGATGCTCTCATGGCCTCTATGGACGTTCGGTCTCGTCATGGTGATCTGCAGCACAGCTCCGTTGAAGCTGCCAAGTTCGAGGGCGAGTCCACAGCACACAGAGACTTTCAAGCACCTGCTCCTCAAGATCTGTCAGATGTACAATGCAAGTCACTTGACGATAGGAGCTTGGTCAACGCTTTGCCGTTCGAAGGCGAGTCGTCAATGCGAGCCCACTACCAACCTCCTCCGCTGGAGGCCCTGAGAATCACATCATGCGACGCCCAACAGCGCCAGCTCGAATTGCAGCATGCTTCTGGTCAGGCAGCGAAGTTTGAAGGCGAGTCTACGGCACACAGCGACTTTCGGGCCTACCCGCGGGAGGCCATGCAGTTTGTGGAGCCATCAACTCGTTCGGAAAGTGTGGGTCCAGCTGCTCCCTTTGAAGGGGAGTCGTCCATGCGGGCTCAGTACAAGCCACCACCGCTGGATGCTCTCATGGCCTCTATGGACGTTCGGTCTCGTCATGGTGATCTGCAGCACAGCTCCGTTGAAGCTGCCAAGTTCGAGGGCGAGTCCACAGCACACAGAGACTTTCAAGCACCTGCTCCTCAAGATCTGTCAGATGTACAACGCAAGTCACTTGACGATAGGAGCTTGGTCAACATTCTGCCGTTCGAAGGCGAGTCGTCAATGCGAGCCCACTACCAAGCTCCACCGCCAGAAGCCCTGAGAATCACGCCAGGTGATGTCCAACCACGTCAGCTGGAAGCGGTGAAGTTTGAAGGCGAGTCTACGGCACACAGCGACTTTCGGGCCTACCCGCGGGAGGCCATGCAGTTTGCGGAGCCATCAACTCGTTCGGAAAGTGTGGGGCCAGCTGCTGCTTTTGAGGGGGAGTCGTCCATGCGGGCTCATTACAAGCCGCCACCACTGGATGCTCTCGTGGCCTCTATGGACGTTCGGTCTCGTCATGGTGATCTGCAGCACAGCTCCGTTGAAGCTGCCAAGTTCGAGGGCGAGTCCACAGCACACAGAGACTTTCAAGCACCTGCTCCTCAAGATCTGTCAGATGTACAACGCAAGTCGCTTGACGATAGGAGCTTGGTCAACAATCTGCCGTTCGAAGGCGAGTCGTCAATGCGAGCCCACTACCAACCTCCACCGCTGGAGGCCCTGAGAATCAAGTCATGCGAAGCCCAACAGAGCCGGCTCGAATTGCAGCATGCTTCCGGTCAGGCAGCGAAGTTTGAAGGCGAGTCTACGGCACACAGCGACTTTCGGGCCTACCCGCGGGAGGCAATGCAGTTTGTGGAGCCCTCAACTCGTTCGGAAAGTGTGGGTCCAGCTGCTCCCTTTGAAGGGGAGTCGTCCATGCGGGCTCATTATCGGGCTCCACCACTGGACGCGCTCAAGACTTCTGTGGATGCTCCGTTGCGTCAAGGTGCTGTACATCCTGTTGACACTGCAAAGTTCGAGGGCGAGTCCACAGCGCGCAGAGACTATCAAGCACATGCCGTGCAAGATCTGCCAGGTGTGCATCGCACGTCACTTGAAGAGAGGAGCTTGGTCAACAATCTGCCGTTCGAAGGCGAGTCGTCAATGCGAGCCCACTACCAAGCTCCACCGCCAGAAGCCCTGAGAGGCACGCCATGTGATGTCCAACCGCGTCAGCTGGAAGCGGTGAAGTTTGAAGGCGAGTCTACTGCACACAGCGACTTTCGGGCCTACCCACGTGAGGCATTGCAGTTCGTGGAGCCATCAGCTCGTTCGGAAAGTGTGGGTCCAGCTGCTCCCTTTGAAGGGGAGTCGTCTATGCGGGCTCACTACCGGGCACCACCGCTGGACGCTCTGAAGACCGCTTTCTGCAAAGAGACAGGCGCACCACAAGCTGACCTGTGCCACAATTCCCAGCAAGTACCATTCATGGGAGAGTCTACCACACATCATGACTATCAGGCGCCTGCATTGCCCATGCTGCTCGGTGTCCCACGTGCGCATCAGGCTGCGAAAGCCGACTTCTCAGTGCCTTTCAAGGGCGAGTCATCTATGCGTGCCCATTACCAACCGCCGCCACCGGAGGCATTCTTGCCGAGAGCTTGGCCAACAACTGATGTGAACTCTGAGCTCCGGACCTCCTTTGATGGCGAATCATCCATGAGGGCTCACTACCAGGCCCCATCGCCAGAAGCACTCAGAAGCGCAGCATGCCAGCAACCCACTGCCGGGATGCCAAGCGTCAGAAACAGCCCCAAGTTTGAGGGCGAGTCCACTGCCCACCGAGATTTCAAAGCACCCGCTCTGCAAGCGCTCCTACATGCGGGCTCGACGGCAGCTCCTCTTGAAGGTGCTCTGCACCAAGAGCCCAGCGCTGCCTGTGGCCGGGATGGACCGGCAGTGGAGACATTGTTGCAGATCCTTGCAAGTGGTGATGGGCTCGCTGGAGATGCCAAGGAGACCCGCAAGATGACTGATGTTCCGCAGGGCCCGGAAGAGCCCACAACACAAGGCTTCAAGGTCCCCTCCCTGGACAAGTTGCGAGCAATCCTTCATGAAGCTGAAGCTTGTTGCGCGTCGGAGACACAGCAGAACCCCAAGCCTCTCAGCACATGGCCGGCCGAGAAATCCGTTCCTGGGCATCCTGGCGGCGCGCCAGACCTGCGTAGGCCGGCCGGACGGGCAAGCAGCTCCGACGTCCCGCGCGCAGTCAGGGGACGGATGCGCCCCGAAGCCAACTTTCAGGCTTCGATGGCCCCCGAGCCACGGGCTTTCGATGGAGCGGACCGGCCACCAGAAAGGGGCCCGGCGATCGAGGCAGGGTGATGCGGAGTGTATAGGGTTATCTTAAGTCCTGCTTTGAAGAAGTCCTCCTTACACACAGGCGCAAGCCTCCTTGGCCGACTGCGCACGACGAGGAGCCCATGCGCTGCGTCCATGCCCGCTGCAGACTCAGACCACCATCTCGGTAAGGTAAGATTCAGGACTTATAAGTCTTTCCAGCGGCTGTGCGAGTTGCCATGTGCTGAGGCCTGCCTTCGCGCAGCAGCCGCTGCCAGGCAAGTGTATGTGCGCTGCGAAGCAGCATGTTTGCAAGCCTTCTTCGCCAAAATGTATGTCATGTATACTCCAAAGCAGCCACTTCAATCACCCGAAGCCGGCAAGATGAGGCTAAGAACAAACCGGAGCGACACGCGAGTTCATTGAAGCAAAGCAGGGCACCAAAGTAGTTAAGGTTTGCTCGCAGTGATCCAAAGTGTGCACGAGATGCACACGAAACATAAGATCAACATGATGCTTGTCACGAATACGCCAGTGGCTGCCATAAACTGGCTCCATTCAAACCTTTAAAAAAAACAACCCTAAGCCCTATAACCCCTACACTCCGAAACCTTAAACTCCCTCAACGCTAAAATCCTAAACCCTAAGCCCTAAACCCTAAATCCTAAACCCTACCGTGGCCGGCTAGGCGTGCGCTCCGCCAGCCAGCCGGCTCGCAAGCGGCCCAGCGAGGCGCCGCGAGGCGCGAGGCAATAGGAGTACCCCGAATAGACCCCCCCAAAAAAAGAATGTAATTCCTGCTTGTAGGGAACCCTAAAAAGGGTGATGACCTCTATTTGGGGAAAAGCACATGGGTTTGTTCGTTTTTTTTTTTATATTTTTTTTGGGGGGCGGGGGGGGGCTCAGGTTTAAGAAGGGCACCCGGGGTTGCACACCCGCGACACATACCCCGAAACATACCCCAAAACATTTCCCCGAAACAAAGTCGCGAAACATACCCCCGAATTGCATCTAAACTAGCTCATGATGCTGCGAAACACCCCCCCCCCCCCCCCCCCCCCCCCCCCCCGCCCCCCAATTCTCGAACAACCCCACATTGAAAAAGCAAAATTGCAGCTCGCTGCACCTTCTTGCAGGTCCTTCGAGTTCCAGGCTCTTCGCAGCCTCTGAGACATTGCCTTTACTCCTGCGTCACACGCGTGTGGCATGCCGTGGGCATGTTTTGGTCTGGTAAATGAATCCCAAACGGGCCCAAAAAGAGATACCCTAAACCTGTACCTGCACGTGGCTTTCCCTGCGCGTGCGCTAGTCGTGAGAGTCGAAACCCTACTACTATTTGCTTAAGAACCCCCCCAAAAAACAAAAAGACTAATCCCTATATTACCCAGAAGGAAGAATATTCTCTATTTTTTGGGGGGGTATCTTAAGCAATTGGTAGCCTAGTTGCAGCAAACCCACCAATTTTGGCGAAGGGGCGCAAGCTCACCATTGCGAAGTGCCCACGGACGTCGCGCTGGCGCCTGAGTTTGCACATATATATATATATATATATATATCTTATTGTTATAAATTTGGGGGAGGGGGAGGGGGGGGGGGTGGGGGGCATGAGATCAAGCAAACCGCTGATCCCCTGAAGTGGCGTGACAGGCATGTTGGACAATAAACCACCGGCAGTTGTGTGTGAATTCTTTCTGCGGGCAAGCCAGGCACTCCGAGTGAACTGACATAAACCCTACATCCTGGGTTTAGGGTTTGGATTTTAGGGTTTAGGGTTTTGGGGTTTGGGGTTTTGGGGCTGACCCTTTTCACAAGGGACTCGACTGCTGCCGCGGTGCTTCTAGGCGGGTGGCAAGAAACGAATGCCAACCCTGCCTCTTGCCTTGTCCACACAAGTCGTATAACAGAATTACGGCTGGAAGTCCCAAATCCATAAACCCTAAACCCGAAACCAGCCGTGTGCGAGTGTGAGAGTCAAAGCCCGAAGCCGCCTAGCCCCGGAACTCTTTTTGTTCAGGTCCACGTGCTGCGGACGCCCCCGAGGCATTTGCGGGGGTTTTGGATGGCGAATGTCATCCCGCGACTGCTGTTCGAAACAATGCTGTTCTGAATTATTGTATTCTTCTGTTATGATATCCTTCTGTATACCATTATGATATCCTATATTTTTTATTATTATTCGTACAGAGAAGTGCGTGTATCGGCACACGGTGATGCGCGTTTGGGCTACGTTGGGCTTCGAGCTCTGATTCTTCTGCAAGGCATTTGATGGCGAGGGCCTGGGCCTTAGCCTCCAAAGGCAGGCATTCATTCTGAAGTTCACAGCTATATTTGGTATGGGGTAGTTTGGGGGTTCACGTTCTTTCCTACGTGTGGTGCACTTGGGTACTCGGAGTATGTCTGGATCGCCCGGCAGAGAAGCTGGGGCCGGGATGTGGCATCAAGCAACGACACGGTGAGGGTTTTGGGGCACCCCCGAGGCCCTAAAACATTGCAAGCTCAGGCAACCCGATAAGGCTTAAGTCCTTTGAGGGTTCTCCCATCATCTCCCATCTCTGACCTGCGGCTAGACGGGTGGATAAAAAACCCTAAACCACCTGGCTTAGGGAAAAATGCTGCGAAAGTGCCCAGGAGCCCGTCACCGAAGATGGTCGCATGCGGCAAGTGGCTCGGGGCCAAGACTGCGTGTTGTTCTCACCAATTTAGTGCCTTGACAAAGAAAGTGCTTTCCCGCAACTTGAATCCGCACACCCCTCGAATGCTCACCTACCACCTATCCCGGGAAACGCAGAGTTTAGGGTTTAGGGTCTATAGGGTTTATAGGGTTTATAGGATTTATAGGGTTTATAGGGTTTATAGGGTTTATAGGGTTTATAGGGTTTATAGGGTTTATAGGGTTTATAGGGTTGAGGAGTGAGGGTTGAGGGTTTAGTGGCACAAGAGCGGCAATGGTAAACGAAGCTTCCGAGGCGGAAAGCAGGCCGCACCTCAGGGATCTTCAGGGGTCTCCACACTGCCCCCAAAGCCCCAAACAAACAACAAGTACCCCTTAAGAAGGTCTCCTATTGAGGTTGGTACCCCCCCCCTCCCAAAATAGAAACCTGGTGTTCGATGATGTGGTTCCCCCAGCTGTAACGCCCTAAACCCTAAACAATCCCTATAACCCTAGACCCGAAGCCCTAAACCCTAAGCCCTGGTGACAACAAAAGCCTTCAACCCTCGGATTCCAGAGACAGCACCGAGTAACCCCCCCCTCAAGCCGTTAAACTATAAAACCTAAACCCTACACGCAGTAACGAGTAACCCATCGCGAGGGTGTCGGGGGAGCCTCCGGGCCCTTTTTGCAAACCGTACGACGCACGAACCACGACTGTTCCCTGCGGAGTAATCCCAGAGGGGGTCTGCTAGGCGGGTGGCAAAAGAAAAGCAGTAACCTGGGCCTTGGCTTGATGTGCTATTTGTGCTGCTTGAACAGCCCTGAGGCCCGCCCGACACAGTCGGAAGTCATCATCTGAACTTGGGCCGCTGTATTGTCTGACCTTTTCCCCTAAGCATACGAAACGGGTGGGAAAAAGCGCAGTCAGTACTGTAAAGAGGCGCCCCTGCAAAAAAAACAACCTAAACCCTAAATAACCCCCCAAACCCTAAACCTTAAGTTCAGCTATGCGGGCGGCAAAAAAGACCTAAACCCTAAACCCCCAAGCCACAAGAGTCAGAAGCCGAGGAGGGATTCCCTGGACAGCTCCCTGCAGGGCTCCCCTCCAGGTGGTGGGGTGGGCGCCCTCCTGAACTTCAAGTAAGTTGCGCTTCTAGAATGAATAGGGTTTAGGGTTTGGGGTTTAGGGTTTGGGGTTTGAGGTTTGGAGTTTAGGGTTTAGGGTTTAGGGTTTGGGGATGTGAGCTTCGATATATGCAAACATAGACACACACACATATTTGTTTATATATATATATAGAGAGACATACAATGACATATACACATGACCACATGATCGTGTATGGAACACGGCAAAGCACGTAGTTTCCTTGCGACAGCAGCTTCGCATAAGTTCCTTTGACCGCGACCTAGAAAAGCTTCCCTGTTTGTGAAAAGACGGACGGATGTGGAGTTAGAAGGTTTAATAGGGTCTGTGAGGTCTTGGTTTATGGCCGCCCTGGCCTATAGGTTTTGGAAGGGTGTAGTGGCAGCTTCCTGATCAACAAAAAGTATCCAGGGGACCTCGCAATTCACATCGATTTGTTGCCTGGCACTTGACTATCCGGGTTTCGGGACGGGAAGCACTCTGTATTAACAGCTCTGCGATCCATCGGAAGTTGTTTTGTCTACTCTAAACCCTAAACCCTAAACCCTAAACCCTAAACCCTAAACCCTAAACCCTAAACCCTAAACCCTAAACCTTAACGTGGCCAGGCCTGATGGTGCAGGCTCCTCAGAATGGTGTGCCCCTGCAGTGGCTCTGGGGACCGAGGATTTAGGGTTTGTGCAAACAGTCGCTCGGACGCTTTAGGGTTTAGGGTTTAGGGTTTAGGGTTTAGGATCTAGAGGGCCTAGGGTTTAGGGACACGCACACGCACAAGAGTTGGCCTTTCATGGGGGGGGGGGGGGGGGGCAAGGCGTAGGAGAGTGTGGCAGTTGCACCCCGGCCTGGATAAGGTCGCAAATGCGCCGAGATTCAGGTCTCCACAAGGCGCTCGGCGTGTCGCGACTGTACAGACTGATGCAAGGTCGGGCTAGCTGTCCTAGTGGTGACTCGGAGGTTCATGTAGCTTGAGCAAGGTTATAAGCATAGGTACTTATAAGTCCCCCTGAACCTCCAAGCAAGCGTGGGCCACAAAAGACATCCTGTTCAGGTGAAGCTGGCGCCTATGTTCCGCAGTTTGTTCCCAGCCCCAGCTTTTGCGTTCGTCCGCACAAACTTGCAGTACTGGTCATTTCCCTTCTTGGAGGTTCATGGGTAGTTCTAAGTAGGGTTATAAATATGGTAATTATACTTCTAACCCCACATAGGGTACTTGTAATCCTATAATCAGTACCCATGAACCTCCAAGTTGGGTTCCCGTGGTGCATCATGGGAGTTAAGGAGGGTGAGTCCTCCTGTCGAAGCGATTACCGGCCGCCTCCGCGAGAGGCCAGCTGGTGTTTTTTGGGCCTCAGAACACCCTATCAAGAACAGTAAAGTAATGTAGGGATTTGTATGACCTAACAGTAGTGGCGGGGATGTTTCCTGTGGACTTTTCGGGTCCCAATGTCCGTCCGACTCTAGACTCTTCCTCTTACGAAGATCATGAAGATCTCCTGCACCCCCGCCTCACCCCCCGCCCCCCCTTCCTCACACCCCCCACCGAACACCCCCCAGAGGAGAAGCAAACATGTGTTTCCAGATCTTTTCGGAGGGGACAGGGAGGATCCACGAGGGTGGAGGTAGCTCTCCTTACGTAGCGAGGTTATTCTGCACACCTGTTCAGCTACGTCTTTCAGTTGAGCTTCTCAGCGAAGTGTCCAAGACATGCATCCTAGCTTCTAAGCCTATACTTGCAACCTGAAACCAGCTTCGACGTAAAACCCCAAACCCTAGACCCTAAACCGGGTGGCAAAAAAGCAGACAGTTTAGGGTTTGGGGTTTAGGGTCTATAGGGTTTAGGGTTTAGGGTTTAGGGTTTAGGGTTTAGGGTTTAGGGTTCAAGAAAGAACATCGGCCCAGGCTGCAGCCTCAACCCGGCCTGCTGGGTGCGCCAGCGAGCGCAGCACCTCGGACAAGGCCATCCCGAGCTGCAGCAGCCGCAGGATCCCTTATAGGAACGTTGCTGCTAGTATTTATGACTTTGGGTTTCGGGTTTAGGGTTTAGGGTTCAGGGTTGAGGGTTGAGGGTTTATGGAAATCATGATATCAGAATTTAGTAGAGTTGTTTTTATGGTGAATAAGATTCTTGCAGGCAAGCCACCGGCGCTCCTCGTGCAGATCTTATTCAGACGCACTGGCACTGGAGTGAAGCGTCAGCTGCAGCGCACTACCCAAAGAGCTCAATACCCCTTAAACAAGGAATAGACCTGAAATCATTTCAAGGATCCTCTTACGTAATTTGAGGTATACCCCTTGAACAAGGAATATACCTTAAGCCATAATTATATTAAGGATGCTTGTATAGTTTAAGGTCGCTTCCTTAATTAAGGGGTATTGGGCTCTCTGACTAAGGCACCGCTCAGCGGATGCCCGGCTGCCTAGCATGCGCTCGGCATCGAGCCATGACCAGCTTGATCCTTACCGTGAGTTGCCTTGTCATCTTCAGAGAACCAAGCAAGAGAGAGAGAGAGAGAGAGAGAGAGAGAGCGTGGAGAAGAAGAAGAAGAAGAAGAAGGAGAGAGAGAGAGAGCGAGAAGCAAAAAACAAGCGGAGCTGTGGACGTTGCGCGCCCTCGGGGCGGCTCCCCTTCGGGGGGGCCAAGCGTGCGAGAGAGAGACCTTGGGCGCGCTTCTGCGCGAGGGGTCTTCCGGTCCCCCCCAAAACCCCCATGCCCTGCAGAAGAAGAAGAAGAAGAAGAAGAAGAAGAAGAGGGAGCGAGGGAGAGAGAACCAAAAAGACATGAAGGACTTAGGTTGAACTGGGATAGGAGTCGCTCCAGCCAGTACCACGTTTGTTGCACACACCGACTGGATCGCTGGAGCACCCCCCTCGGGGCGGTCCCTGGGACCATTTGCAGAGGAAGGAAGGGAAGAAAGCGATAAAGGAGAATCATAATGAAAAGAGGAGGAGGAGGAGCGCACCCCTCGACTTCAAGCACTGAAAAGAAGGAAAGGAGCAGAGCACTCCTCTCAACAAAAAGGAAGACCACTCGCTGCGCTAAGCCAGGCCAAGCAAGGAGAGCGAGAGGAGTGAGATGCGAGGGACCCCGCCTGCAGGTGACAGCAATATGCAGCAGTCGTAGGCAGCTTAAGTCACTTAAGTGCATCTAATCTATTCTCGTGCTCATTCTGCAATTCTGTCATGTGCCCGCTTGAGGTATAAGTTGCAGCAGCAGCAAGCTGCAAAAGCCTGAGAGCGCACCACCAAAGCGTCGTGCGCACATCTTCTGCCGCTGCTGGTTCCAGCATCGTGACGTGATCAGCTGGTAAAGTTGGACGGGGTTTAACTTAGCGTTTTCGGAAGAGATGCTGTTCTCAGTTGGTAGCGTGGCGAGCCAATAAGCTCCCCACACCTCGCTCGGGCCCACGGGCCGTGAATGTCTTGATCTACCGCATGTTCCCCGCAGAGCACAAAGCCCATTCATGCTCCGCAGCAAATGCAATCGCTGGCCTGTACCTTGCGACGCAAGCGTGCCGGCAGTTAACGCGCTCCATCGACAAAAAGAGAAGCGTCTTCTGCTTGGCTGTCGCTTTGCTTGTTCTGGGTAGGCAGCCGGCGTGACATCTGTGTCCAACGCTCAACAGCTCCAGCTCGTCCTTTGGATGGCGCGCCGCCCTGTCGTTTAGTGCCTTGTGTGACGTGTGGAGATTCTCAGTGCAGATGTGAGTGTGCGAGTTTTCATTTCCATTACCTGGCAATGAAACAAGGGAAGGCAGACACCATGGTACCAAGACAAGTCTTTGAAGAAGCCTGAGGGCTGCGTGAAGCACGCATAAGCACGCTTTGGGGGCATCAATGCTCCAATGTGCATTGTGTCAGGGAAGCTGCGTGAAATTGAACCTCAAAACTTCCCGGGAGCACTGGAGTTCCAGAATGAGCTTTGCCCAAGTGCGGCTGCTGCTAGCTCTGGCTGAACCATGTGCGAATGTAGAAAGCATGATGGCTGATCATGAAGCACGCTTACCACAAATTTGGGGGAAGAACCCTTGCTGGTGACGCTTTTCCATACTTAGCAAGCTAATTACTGCGACTCCCATTGTAGTCACTCATGCATCAGACATGTCCAGCCCAACTTACAGCCCAACCAACCCTGCACAGCACTGGCCACAATGTCAGCCAGAACAGTAGCCAGCCATAGTGTGAGGAACGTACACATCGTTGTCGCGTAATTATTCATGCTTGCCGCAACATGGGCCATGAGAGCCACGAGGCTCATCTGTTGCAAGAGATTGCCAGCTCCTGGTACATAATTCTTTATAATTGTCTTATAGATTAGTATGACTTGTTTTATTCTTACACATATGTTTATGTATATATATATGTATACATATATATTTGCATTTTTAGTTCGTTGTTTTTATATTTACTTATTGTTATTTGTTAGTATGATTTATTCCCCATCCTCGGTGTGGGGTTGTTAGATTTTAAGACTCAACTCTTCTCCTCGCCCGGTCTACTTCTCCTCGCCCGGTCTACTCCTCGCCCAACCCAGGGTGCCCAACCGCAGGGTGTCCTTGGAGTGTCCCTGGAGTGCCTAACCCCAAAGTGTCCCTGGAGTGCCCAACCCCAGATTGTCCATGGAGTCAGAGCATCTCTACGCAGAGAGGGATGTTCGAAGCAGAATAGTTTTTTCGAATCTATTTTGATTGCTATTCATTATTCCCCATCATTACACATGATTACACATTCGAACCTTACATCATATTCCATATTCTTGCCTATTTCTACATACATTCTCTCATGACATATGAAAATCGGCATGTGTGTATGTATGTATGCATGCATGTATGTATGTACGTACGTACGTATGTATGTGTGTGTGTGTGTGTATGTGTGCATGTGTGCATGTGTGCATGTGTGTATGTGTGTATGTGTGTATGTGTGTATGTATGTACGTACGTACGTATGTATGTATGTATGTATGTATGTGTGTATGTACGTACTCTGTGCAGGCCGGAGGGTCCTTCGCCTTGCTCCCCCAAAGGGGCCCACAGGCCTTCAGCTCAGCCGCAAGCCCGTGAGCATGTCTTGAGCAGCAGCTGTGGCTTCAGGCCGGTGACGCATACGAGCCGCAGGCAGGAATGTACGTGATGCGACATACGGCCTACGTAACTGCATCATCATCACCATCACCATCAGCATCATCATCATCATCATCATCGTGAGCATCATGATCATCATGATCATGCGTTGCAATCGGAGGCTTTGGCACCGCCTGTGCAGACATACAAGCGGAGAAGGGACAGCGCCCCTCCACCTTCGCTTCGCCCAGCGTCGGCATCCCAGCACAGCTTGGGCGAAGCACCTCAGGAACGCATGACGAAGCAACACGAGTTCCCTGCTCAGCGAGCCAGGATCAAACTGGAGGCGTCTCACTCAACGAGTGGCGCCTTGGAGGCCGGCTACCGGCGATTTTGACAGCTTCGGGTGTTCTGCGGGGAGTTGCCTTAAAGCCTTAATAAGTCGCCAGGAGGAGCAGCCCCACGTTGCATCCGCAAGTGCGGTTTGGCACCTGGCTGGCCCTGGATCTCGCATGATTTAGGTGATAGTGAGTTTGGGATCAAAGAGCCGCCTGTGTTTCTTGGCTTCCGGACAGTTGTGGTTCCAAGATTCCTCAAAAGGGCCGCGCATGCCTCAAACGGAGAGCCCAACGTCATTTCCGCGTACTCTGCATGGCGATGTGTCACACTCATTGAACTCCCACGCCAGTCGGAGTCAGATTTTCAATCCTTCACCAACCGTGCAAGTACTACTGTAGTGAAAGTACTGCGCAGCCCCCCCAAGGGCCGAAAGCCAGCCGTAAACCTTATAAAGCCTATGAGCCATCAACTTCCTTCAGAAGGGCCCGCATTGCTGTGGCCCAGCGGTGGCAATATGAGCCTTAAAACCATCTGTTTGAGCCTTGCCCCATTATCCCCATACTGCATCACAGAGCATGTTGGACTGAGGAACAGGCCCCTGTGCCTCCTTCATTCATGGAGCGGCATAAGCTCCGTGCCCCCGAGCGTTTGTGTGAGCTTCTACGAGTAAGGACTTGGAGCTGGGCCAGACTTGGGGCATCATTTTGACCCGTCAAAGAAGCAAAGGAGGGAATTCAAGAGAGTACTCGGTCGCGACCATTCTATGCAACAGATAGGTACCATGGGCACCATGGGCATGTCCGGAGACGATCTGCGAAAAGCGCGACAAGTCGTCTGCCGCAGACCCAGTGGTGCAAGATTTCCGTGCTCTCACTTGTTGCGGGTTCTTTGTCAATCAATACGCGCTGTAGTTTCCCACGCTATTATTTAGATCTTAAACCATGCACTGTTGCATTGTCCTGTGCAGCGCAAGACGGAAAACAGAAAGCACATCCTCGTGCAAGGACAACTCGAGAGGCGTTGCAAACATGTGTTGCTTCAACCGCGTGCCTGCGCTACTGGTGTCGAACTGGTTTTGTGGCTCGAAGCAAAGCCCGCAAACGTGTGCAACATGCCATAATTTGTCGTGACCGAAGCAGATCTCTCCGTCGATCTGGCAGCCCGGCCAAGTGCCTTGTGGGCTCCGTTGGGTAAAGGATGTCCCTCTGTCAATGAGTACCAGGGCTTGGGTTTAAAGAGGGCAGCCAGGAATCCGGAAGCAAGCGGGGTGCTTGACGTGAGTCGAACCCCCACCACCGAGGCGATAAGGCGCAAGAAATCATGGTTGAGCGGCCCCTCCGGCCGCAATAATCAGTGGAATTCCCTAGGTAGTCGGGAATGACGGAATTAGATACCTTATAGAATTCCTTAAACAGTTCCATATAAGGGGATCATGGTGGATAGTGCCTCTATAATTCCTTCATTCCGTGCTAAGAGCCACTAGGTCATGCTAGGTGTTTAGGCTGTTTAGACGTGACAGTGCTGGGCAAGTCTATGCCATCCTAGCTGAAGAAATCTCCTGACCTTCTAAGGTTTCCACGTGACAAAGTCAAGGAGATTGTCAACAAAGAGTGCATCTAGCCAGGTTGAACGCGCAGGGGACGTGACAGCACGTCCATCTCTTGAACATGCATGGGCAGGGGATGTTGAGTTCTGGGTAGGACGTACAAGATGCCCTGCACGCCAATGAAAGGGCACACTCACTTCGGGTTTAGTTCCGACTACTACAGTAATCTATTACGACAATACATCGACAACACGATAGCAATAGTACCATCAGAACATAATCATGGGCTAGTATACGAATGTATATATATATATACATACATATACATATACATATACATATACATATACATATACAGATACATATACATATACATATACATATACTTATACATATACATATACATATACATATATGCATATATACATCTATACATATATACATATATACATATATACATATATATATACATATATATATATATACATATATATATATATGTATAAGCGCCGGAATTTGTTCGTCAAAGCCAGTACTACGGCGCACACGCGAGTGTCGGAAAGGCACGGAAATCGATAGGGGCGCCACCTCAAGCGATAACATTGGGCTTGCACATTCAGATGCATTCATCCCGCGTCCCATAGTATGTAAAGCGATAGGGGCCCCACAAACAAGAAGCGACAACGTGGTAATCCGTGTCCTTTCACTCTCCTAGCAAAGTTTGGCTGTCACTCATATATACATATATATATATATATGTTAATATGTATATATATATAGATATGTATTTGAGTATTTACATTCATATTCAGAAACATACAAAAATCGGCACAGCTGAACACACAAAAAACGCCAGGGAATGCTACGAGACCTTCATGGAACTGGCAGGCTTTGTGCCGCCCCAAGTACCGCCTCAGTCGTGAGATGCATTGTGGGTCATAGCATGCTTCGGATCTTGCTGTTAAGCCTGGAGCGTTAGGCCGACAAACCTCGGTTGTTCTGAGGTTGCACTGGGCGGGAAGGAAGGAAAGAAGGTTGCGGAGGCTTTGAACTGAGCACAGTGTGAGACTGTGCCTGTGAGAGAGAGAGTGTGAGACTGTCAGACAGACAGTGTTGAGCGTCCATCTGGCACGGCAGAGGTCCAAAAAATCTTGTAGAAGAAAAAGAAGAAGTAGGAAGAAAGAGCTGCTAGAGTGGGACTGCACTGCCGGGGCCACCCTCTGGCAGGCCTCTTCGCTGGGTAGAAGAAGAAGAAGCTGGCTAACAATATTCCATATTCATTCCTTATTCGTGTTGTGGTTCTTGTGGTCACTCCCGGCAACACCATGCCATGCATATTCTCTCACAGACGAGGGAGGTTTTTCAGCAGGGTCAGTGATAAGCGAGTCTCCATCTCAGCTTCTCCGCTCGATATTGAAGGAACCTCCTCTTCAACTCCAGACAACCTTTTTTTGCTCGTATCTCACACGACCAGCCTCATACTTGCGATCAAAGGACTCGGCAAAATGAATTGCGGCAAGAACCGTTCTCATCTCACCTCTCCATATCCCGATCTTTCATGGCTCCCCTCCTGAGGACAAGTCCAGCTTCGGGGCATCCTTCAACACTTGTACGCCGCCTGATGAATCCGGACCTCGCTGGCCTCCAAAGTCCTTACGTGGCTCGTCGGACTTTGCAAATGGAATTCAAAGGCCAGGCGTTCAAGCTCAGCGACTTTATTGACCACCCATCTGGTCTGGCCCCATTCGCGTTCCTTTTGCTTGCTTCAACAGCTTCAGCCTGTGCCCAAGGCTCTGCTTCAGCTGTTCCACTTGTGCATTGCTTTCTGCTTGCTTGGCACTCATGATCTCCAAAGCTGCTGCCTGCTTTTTCTAGCAACCCAACCAAGAAGTCACGTTGCTCATCGGCGGAACTACCAACTAGCCCCCGTGCTCCAGCTTCAGAAAAGAGTCAAGTTGGACCGCAGTTGCAGTCACCTTTTGCCAGGCTTTGTTCCCACTTTTCTTTCTTTCATGCTCACTTCGAACTCTTCATCGTCCGCTCATTCTCGGAGCTCCAAGTGGAAATTTCTTCCTGTTGACGCGCATCGTTCTTCTGGAGCGTGTGCCACGCCTGTTGCAAACACCTGGTTTTTCTTTGTCTTCCATTGTGCCGTTTGCGCTCTCTGAACACACTGGCCAAGCAGTTCAGACCTTCGCACCAGCCCATCGTCTAGCGCATTCAGGCCCTGACGAATATAATCCGCCAGCTGCCCTAGCTCCATTCTCTGTGGCGCCTCCAGTCGTGACAACATGTCCGCAGGAAGGATTCACTTGTGCCAGACTTCGAAAGACCGCAGAACCTTCAGCTTGGATACGTTGTAGTCCTTCTGCTGAGCTAGCAGCTGCTGCATGTTGTTGTGGTTGTTGTTGCTGCTGAACGTTTGAGGAGTTTAGCCCAAGGGGAGCCATTGGGCTCACAACCTCTTGCTGGTTTGTGAGGTTAGGAGGTGGGGTGCCAGATACACGAATGTAATGCGAAGGTGCAGCACTCGAAAGGTTTGCTTTTGTGCACATTGATAAATCGTCTAACGGATTGTACCCTTGATCCATCCCCTCACACACCCTTCCAATCCCACTCCCCCATACATCATCTACTCCCACATCTCATCTTTCCACGAACCTTGAGCCACATATGTGGCAGTTGTCATTCTTGCGCAGGGTCCATGAGGACCACAATGCTGTACAGAAAGCGGAAAGAGAGGCCCTAAGCCCTGTGAAAGAAACGAGGGAGTAAGGGCTTGTTTGCGTGGGCGTAGAATTAGGGCGGGGTTGTCTGTGTTTCTACAAATTCAGTGATATCTGTCGGCATTTGCTTGGCCACTGGTTCTTGGGGCACGTGCTGTGTATTTGGCCAAGCGCAGAAGCATGTCCATCGTGGGAGGACTATGTGGTGGAAGTCGACAACCGCCCGCAATTAAGAAGTGAACGTTGCATTGTCAGGCGGGAAGTCCTCGTGCTCTGCAAGTTGACCGTTGGTGTAGGTTGGTGCACGACGGTGTCTATGCCCAGGAATCAGTATGGCGCTGCTACGAATTCAGTCCACGAATGTGAGTGCCGGATCCCTGGCTGGGCCCAGGCAGACGTGCTGCACTGAAGGTCAACGCAGCTGAGAGTCGTCTCAGGTACTGCACTGAAGGTCAACGCAGCTGAGAGTCGTCTCAGGTACAGAGTGCCGATGCGGAAAGATCAGGATGTGCTTGGAGCTCAGCTGCAAGCTCTTCACTGGGCAGGTCATTCGGGTGCTGCTGCAGAGCTTGTCGGTAAAGACTTTTTTTTCTTCTCATGGCTGCAGTTTTCGGAAGCAACAGGCATTCAAGAGCCTCGCTAAACTTTGGCCGCTTTCACCTAGAGAACTGTGTTTGATGGATGGACACACGGTTTAGGAGTCTGCAATCAGGCGCCGCTTTTCAGATGGTCGTTGATGAGCTTAAGGTGCCGCTTCTTCTTGATCCATTCATCAAGTTCGTAAACAATATTGGACATAATATGAACTGCCAGTAGTAATAAGAGTCAAAATAGTCATAACTGTCATAAAAGTCAGAATAGTCATCATAGTCATAGCAGTCAAAATAGTCACAATAGTCATAATAATCGCCACAATCGGCATAGTCTTTTGACTGAATGTGCTGCGTCATGATGAGAGAGAGCTGCTGAGAGCTGCTGTGTTGCGTTGGGGCGCGCTTAGTGTCTTGGCACGACGGCACTTTGGTCAGGCCGTATGACGTTTCCAAACCTCAAATGCTACTAACTTCCCTAGAAGCCCTAAACCCTATACCCCAAACCCGCGCGCTCAGTTGCTCAGACTCAGAGACAGCACCGAGTAAACCCTAAACACTGAGCCTTGCTAGTGTCCAGTTCAATCGGGCATTGGAGGACGGATGTGCTGTTTGAGATGCTGGGAGGGCACCGCAAGGGGGCATAAAGCCCTCAGCCTCAGTGTTGGAGCCGGTTAGGGTTTAGGGTTTAGGGTTTAGGGATCGAAGCAAAATGCCGCATTTTATGCCAATCTGCCCGAATCCTACGGGCTCCTACATGGGCTCCTGCTTAAGTTAACCCAGCAAGCATCCTTCTTAGGTCCATGCCTTCGCACTTGCTTGTCCGGGCCAATGGAGTTACCAGCGTGGTGTTGAGAAACTCAGTCGCAAGGGATGTTAGTTTGGTCATGTTTCCCTGGCAGACATGGGGGACCAGTGCAGACCATGACTGCTACACCACCTTCCCGTCGGAGACTCCACAATCACGGACGCGTTGCGCAACCTGGAATTCCATTGCTCGCGCGCGCGGCATCTTCCGGCAAACGTGTGAGGCGACGCGTATGGAGAGTTAGGACTGAGAGTTCCTGCAAGCAAGGCCTTTGCAAGGGTGGGCAGGAGAGCACCTCTAGACGAGTCTTGGCCATGGTGATGCTTTCGGGTGCCATGGCCATCAGGAAAGCAGACGCAGCTCCAGTTCAAGAGTCCGGAGAGTTGGGGGGAACTTGGTCAGCGACCCGGATGAAGATGGACGCCCTGGACGATGCGTTGGCAAAGATGCACGGAAGGGAGGGCGCCTTGCCCATGGCACGCTATCCGGATCCCATGCTTCGGCAAGTCGCCTCCCCGGTGCCAGCGTCCGCGTTCCAGTCTCCTGAAAAGCTGGAGATGCTGGCGCAGGCGCTGCAAGTCACCGCTGAAGCCGAAGGTGCCGTTGGCCTGGCGGCAAGTCAAGTCGGGGTCGATGCACGGATGATCTTTCTGGATCAACGTTCGCTCGGCCAGGATGCGCCCCGCGTTTTGGTGAACCCGAGGATCACAGAGCGGAGTTCGGAATCCGACATGAGGTGGTGGCGAGAGCGCTGCTTGGTTCTGCCCCCAGATGTGCTTGTGACGCTGCTGCGAGATGCAACCATCTCTGTGGAATACTGTGATGTGCAGGGGCAACTTCATACTCAAGTCATGCTTGGTGAGGCTGCGCGGGCCTTGCAACATGAGCTGGATCACCTGAATGGAGTTTTGATCCTAGATCATGCAACGGACGACGAAGACCTGGATTCGAAGATCTTCCCGGCACTGAAGCGCTTAGAAGCACGCGACCACACCTCGAGGCAGATGGTCGCCTTTGAGCGGACGGTGTCCTGACCTCGACCATACTTGACAACACTGGAGTAAATAAGGAGCTTGGAACTGCAAACCCTAACCGCAAGAATTACCGACAAATTTTATCGGGTTTTGTAGACAAACAAGGTGGGGGTTCTCAAGATTGACCCGAAGACTAAAGACACGATGCCGGGCTTGCAGATGGGGCTGTTGAAGCACAGCAAGTAAGGATCCACGTAGAGTTTAGGATTCGGCAAGGATGCACAGAATCATTGGCAACGGTGCGATTGGGGCGCACGACCCCAAATTCGCTGGCTGGGTTGCTTCGTGGACCACCCGCCCAAAAACTGCTCCAATGATGCCACGACGAAGTGTAACAAGAAGCCTTGAAGCCCGCCTAGCTTGTGGTTCAGCTGGCCCTAGTATGACCCCCAGGCACCCACCCCCGACTGCAACATCCCCCAATTCATGCGAAACATTTCCCTTCTCGTATACTGTGGAAGATGTATGAGGGGATGAGGAGAGGGGATACGTTGCTCATATTGAGGTAGGCCCGGCCCAAAAGGTTGGGATCAGTATATCTGAGCTGGTTTGTTGGGTGCGGGGATTGCACAAGCACCAGTGGCAGCCAGGCACAGACTGCACCGCATCTAGCTCAGATCTCCGGGTTTAGGGTTTGGGGTTTAGGGTTTAGGGTTTAGGGATCTGCGGTTGGAGTTAGTCACAGGCTCATGATCAGTCACTCAGTGGCAACAAGAAATATCTCAACACAGCATTGGGCATTGAGGAGTGTGATGCAAATCGCGACTGATGTGTACAGCGACTGCAGAGGCTAAAGCAACGTCGGCTGAATCTGCTTACAGCCTCCAGCTCAGTGTGCTTCTCGACACTTGCTTAAGATTTCCTTTCTGGAAATATTGCCCATCGGACTGCTGAATGTTTTCAATTTTCAGTGCGCAAAGTTGCGTGTGTGGTCCTGAGGTTCTCGGCACAGGGCTCCACATCCCGCCAATTGAAGTGTTTGCTCAGGCGTTTTGCATCAAGCAAAGAGTAGAAAAGCCTGGACGCAGTCAAGGCTGCGAGCGATGCAGGTCCCACGCCTTGCCACAGTTGCTCCGTCAAACTTTCTCAAGAAAGTGACCACTTCTTGTTTGGGCCAATGTCGTGGTCACGCCCTGTTCCCCGCCGTTTCTCCAGTGAATACTTGGGAGGCAAAAGGCCCGAACGTTTCCGCATCGCCAGGGGTCACGCAGCTGCTGGTTCCGCTAGTCATCAGCCGTGCTGCTCGGCGCGGAATTGCGTCAGTGCAATCCACAAGCAGCCGCAGAGCTTCAGAGTTTGATCCTGGCCCACAACTTGCGTTGACGGAGAACTCGGCTTTCGCTTTCACCACATCCGGACAAGCTTGCGTGGACTTTCTTTTCCGAGTCGTGCCAGGCATGAGTCAATCTGAAGTGCTTCGCTTGCTGAGAGCGGCTTGGAACGAAGACCCCTTGGCTGCCACCAAGTTAGTCATGCAGTTGGGCGACCCACGCAAAGGAAAGTCCAACCGAGACAACCATCAGCTCTGCTTGCTGTGGCTCTGGCGCAACTTCCCCTCAACCGTCCTTGCCAACATAAGGTCGGGCGCTCTCTCCCACCATACCTGTCTCAAGGGGCTCTTGGACTTGCTGATGTACGCAGCATGGGATGGTGAGGACTATGTGTCGAAAGACTTGGCAGCGAATCCGGACAGAGGACGGGCACGGAACTGAGAGGTCAACCTGATATGAAGCTACTATCGCCCTCTTCATGATGATGATTGTGTTTATTCATGTTCTGCGGGCCCGATATGCAAAGTAATGATGGTCGGGGAATGAAGAAAATGAAGGGGGGTTGTAAAAATGACTTTGAACTTTTTTCGACTTGATGCGCCCCATCTAGTTATAAATCAGGGCGCTGCGAATAAGACTTTTTCCTTTCCCGTCAGCTTCAAAGGTGAGGACATAGAGTGAGCACTTGTGGCGCTGAAATCATCTGCCCCCAATTTTGCCAAATCAAGTCCTATAGTCTTTTTTGCATTGCTGTAGTCTTGCGTCTCACGTCATGAACTAATTAGAGTTGTCCACATTGCGCGACAGGAACCGTTGGGCCTGAACGGCAGGAGCGTAAGACCGCGCTTTTCATGCAGAAAAAGCAAATGAGCCCTGGCCAAGACTGAGCTTTAGGGTTTTAGGGTTTTAGGGTTTTAGGGGTTTAGGGGTTTAGGGTTTTTAGGGTTTTAGGGTTTAGGGTTTTAGGGTTTTAGGGTTTTATAGGGTTTTAGGGTTTGAGGGTTTTAGAGTTTTAGGGTTTTAGGGTTTTAGGGTTTCAGGGTTTTAGGGTTTAGGGTTTTAGGGTTTTAGGGTTTTAGGGTTTTATAGGGTTTTAGGGTTTGAGGGTTTTAGAGTTTTAGGGTTTTAGGGTTTTAGGGTTTTAGGGTTTTAGAGAGAGAGGGTTTTGGGGTTTACCCGGCAGACTTCAGAGGCCTGGATGTCAAAAGGGTTTTGGAGTTTAGGGTGTAGTGTTTTAATAAAATAGTAAAATATTTTGAATTAGAATTAGGTATTTGTAAAAAAGGAAATATATGTAATCAAGATAGGCACCTGACCATTCCCGGCCGACTCCCCAAGCCCGGATGCAAAAAAAGGGTTTAGGCACCAAGCGGCCCTCAGTCTGGCATGAGGCAACTTCCCGGTTCAAAAGGGTTTGGGGTTTAGGGTTTAGGGTTGAGGACCATGTCCCGGTATTGTTCGCGGTGTTTCGAGCAGCCTGAACCCTAAGCCTACCCAGATCTTCCCAAACCCCTTCATTAAGGAATATACCTTATTTCATAATCATGATCCTTAGTATAAATTGGGGGATATTCCTTAATTAAGGAGTTTGGAAGATCTGGGCCGGGTACTTTTTGTAAGATACCTGTGAATCCTAGCAGGGATTTATATTAGAAACTTAAGTGTGAGGAATGGTCCCTTTAAAGAGGTTGCCCATGTGAATGAGAATGACTTTATCATCTCTAGCACTTAAGCTGAGGTGCTTGATCTCTTTCATGCAGGGAAATGGCACACCCAATGTTGGAAACAATGTTCTGATATCATGATACCTTGCACTATCAGGGACGTAACATTCAGGTTACTACAAGTAAAATTGTTAAAGGCCAAGAATATACTTAGGTCGCTGGAACCTGAAAGTATAGGGTACATTGCAAAAGCAACGCGCCCAGTTGACAAATCTTGGCAGAACGCCCCGCAAGGAATCAAGCAGCTCGGCGTGCCAAGCAGCAAGCGGGGAGATCTGCCCGTGTCAAAGCCTTTTGCAAGAAATTGGCCAAAGAGGGCTTCGGGCAGCTTGGTGGAACTGGCAGACTGCACACCTTAAACCCTTAACCCTAAACCCTAAACCGGCCCCACTGCAATAAAATGCTGCCTGTATAGCGGGTTTCTTGGTTGGCGCCGTGTAGAGACGACAATACGACAATCAGCAGAGCCTGACGAAACTTGACAAACAACGTTTCGCACGTTGGCGGCCCTAGGGCCCCAAGAGACAGTGGCCATAAAACTTTCACATAAGTATATGCATACTCGTTTACATGATGTATGTTATATTCTATAATAAATATTTTGTGTCACATGTCAGGTAGTGAGTAAGGAAACACGGAAACAGACGCCAATTGTATGTCATCTGCTATTTGCTACACATCGTATACGGTATATAATATGTTAGATACAGCACATTATTTCAGTTATATGTACACACACATGTATAGATACACATGTATCTACATATATATATATATATACACATGTATACACTGTATCCAACCACACACAGCCTATAAGACCGAGGATTCTTAGTAAGCTGAATTTGAATACTTCTTGCTTTGTTGGGGCTGTCAGTGTGTGCCGGGTCAGGAAGGAGGACGACTTCAGGGTCGAGCGCAAGTTCAGAGATGCTTAGCAGCCCAGTGGTACCTTTTTCCCCTTTTTTGGTTGTGGGTTCCCTTATAAAGTAACTAACCCGAAAAAGGGTGCCCTTATTATAATATGGTTCCTGGGCTACTAAGGATGAGAGTGTACCCAAACGAATGCCATGGATTGAGAAGCAGGACCCTGGAACAAGCAGACGTGGGGACTGAGGGGGGTAGGCGTCTATATGGTTCGGGTCATGCCCGACGCCTCGAAAAAGTGCTTACCCTAGTTTCGTCCTAATAACACTGCAGGTTCGGGCTGTCCAAGCACTAGCCCGGCTTTTGCAGGAGTGGGTGTCTGACGAAGTCAAAGCGAAGTTTGCGGACTACTGCCAGCACGTAGACTGGAAAAGAAACGCACAGTTGCACCAGGAGGCCAAGGAGAGAGTACAGCAGCAGACGCTCAAAGTGCGCAGCCTCTATGAGACAGATGTACATTTGCGTGAGTTGTACAACACTGTTGCCGACACTTAGCTTTGCAGGAACATAATCTTGTCCTTATAGATGAAAGTCTCAAACTCTTGGTGCCCCAACCCCGAAGCTGTTCTCAGAACAGCTTGTGGCAGAATGTCGTGGTCCTAGCTCATCGGAGCCTTGCACTGCCTCCTAAGGACATCTTTGCAAGTTCCCTTCGTGATTTGCTTGACCTTCTGGAGAAGTCCTCCCGGCAGGAACTGACACGCAGCGAGCGGTTGGCCTTGACTGGTAGCTTGGTGCCAAAGTGGGCCCCGACGAAGGCGGGGATGCATGACAAACGAACCGACATCGTGCAGGGCATTGTTGAACGACTCTTTCCAAAAGAGAGCTACATGCTCCATGACGGGACTTTCGAAGACTACATCTCCCGCATGAAGGACAAATACCGTCAGGAAGTGCTCACGCCGTTGCGGAGAATGACCGAAGTGCCTGAGTCGTTTGTTGGACGTGGGCAATGGGACAAGGTGAATTACAACAGGATGCCCGCCAGGTGCAGGTTGCTGTACGGCCAGAGCGTGTATGCAAAACATGATCCTGACAGGTATGCGGCTCACATTCAAGAGGCCTTGGAAGGCCGTGCTACTGTGAAGGGCGGCGCTGTCATGCCACATGAGCTGGTCAGCTCCGTTGTGAACTGCTCGGACCTCGAGGAGAAGCAGGTGGAGGCCCAGTGGAGGGACCTTGTGGCGGAAGTGAAAGCCTCTGGCACTTTGGGCCGCTGCCTCGCGGTTTGCGACGTGTCTGGATCCATGTACGGGACCCCGATGGACGTTGCGGTCGCGCTGTCCCTGCTGGTCAGCGAAGTGACGGAGGAGCCCTGGCGTGACAAGATCTGCACCTTCTCCCGGAATCCGCGATTTGTGACGATCCCGTCTGACGCCAAGTCCTTGAGAAGCCGGGTGAGTTTCACCATGGACCTTGATTGGGGCATGAACACCGACTTCTTGTGGCCAGGCCGCAGGCTACACTGCGTTTCTTTGTTGTGTGGTTTTACATGATGTTCTTTCCCTGATACAAGGATACACATGGGCTGTAACTACAGTTATCTGTTATTCGTAGGCCCGGTCATTAGACGGCCTGAACGACTCTTTGCCCAAGGAGGGTCTTCAAAGAAATGCTCCGCATCGCGGTGGACAACGACGTGCCTGGAGACAAGATGCCAGAGACCCTCTTTGTCTTCTCAGACATGCAGTTTGACCAAGCCATGGATGGCCCCGAATGGAGCACCACCCACCAGCAGATCCTAGAGAAGTTCAGGCGCGGCGGTTGATCAGATATCGGCCCATGTGATGTGCTCTTGATGTGTTTCCCTACCCTAACCCTAAACCCAGGTCGGCAGGCTACGGCAGACACGTGCCAGAGATTGTCTACTGGAATCTGCGGGCTTCGACTGCTCGAGGGGTCATGCCAGTCTTGGCTAGCCAGCAAGGCGTGGGCATTTTGAGCACAATCTTGTAGGAGCCCCCTTCCTTACAGTCAGCCACCGAAGTCGTAACGACTTCTTGTCGATCGCTCCCCGCAATGAGGGAAGAAACACGAGTAGTCGCGCAATTGAGCGTTCGTTGCTGACTGGTTTGAGGAGGTCTTTCAAGGGTTTGTTGCCGGTTTTTTTCTGACTTGCTTTAGGTGGGGCGCGCGTTCGTGCGCCCTGCGTTGTGGGCGGGTTGGGGGCAGGCGGGGCGGTGGATGGTTACGCCCCTCCAAAGCAAAAAAAACCTCTGAAACCCGAAGCCCGAAGCCCTTACCCAACCCCTCGACTTTCTGCCTTGCAGGTCGGGTTTCGTCCTTGTTGCAGGCCCAAAACGCTGCAACCCCCGTGGATTTGGGGTTCACAGGCTGTCGGGGCCGCCTTTTACATGAGGTTGAGGTCTGTTGGCCATTCCGAGCAAGCTTTGAGACGGCCAATAATTCAGAACTCTTTAAAGGAGGTAGAGGACCATATTAAGGCCCATATGGGGGTTTACGAAAGTAGGGGGCCCCGAAAATAGATCCCCAAATCTGAAGCGCTTTTGTTGGTGGCTCCCTGAAGTTTCGATTCCGAGGGCGGGTGAACCCAGTATAGGGTTTAGGGAGTTTAGGGAGCTTAGGGTTTAGGGTCAGTGGCTTCCAGTTTGCCCTTACAACAGCACATAAGCCAACAGTGCTTTCCAACAAGTTTTGTCCTCTGGCCAAGTCTGGCATCTTTGAAAAGACAGCACTGTGGCCTCGTCGAAATGCTCGAAAATCACCGCGAACGCGCGTCCTACCTCGGGGAATTTTGTTCAGGGCGCAAGGGGGGGGGCGGCTCGACGTAGCTTAGCTTGCGCAGCTGCTCGCCACAAGGAACCCTGGCTGTTGACATGCCCGGGCCCCTCGCCCCTAAACCCTAAACTGCTTTGGTAAGTGCCTTCACTTGTTTGTGAATGGCCAGGTGTGGTGATGCTCGGCGGGTTCAGCCAAGGGATGTTAAAGAACTTCCTGGAGAACAGGCTCTCTGAGCGGGCCACCCCTTTGGAGCAGATGCGGGCAATATTGGACTCGGACTACTACGACAAAGTGGTGGTTGCACGTGAAGATCTGACTTGCGAGGCTCCCCGACCTGAGCTGGCTGACGTGCTATTCAAGCAATGATGATGGGGTAGATGTTGAAGTCCCTCTTTCGTTGATTACTGCGGCTTCCGGATGCTGCGAATTGTCTTGTGTATATAATTACTCACTTGCGGCGAGGAGCAAGCCTCCAACTGCTGCTAACGATGATGCTCCATGTCACCCTTCAAGCCTCTCGCAAATAGAGTCCCCGCACCAGCAATTACACAGGGATCCTCTGAAACAGGTTGAACCTTGCAATTGCATCAAATTGTAAGTGTTGACCCCATGCCCGTGAGACTTGAGCGGATACAGGTGCGCCAGCAGTGTAGAGCGAAGCATGGCGCAGACTAGAGCATGGATGATTATAGTTTTGGAAGTACTTACAAGTGGTGCAGGATGTGAGCCGCGCTGCCTCAGGTTGCGGGGGTACAGACAGGAGAACCCGCTGAGTCAATGGTGACTGCTTGCACGCATCGCTGGGCAAAAGAGTCTTCTTTGCTTGCGCAGGCCGGTTTGGCCATCGATGATGCCGCATATTGGAGCACGGAGTCCAGTGTGTCGCCTGAGGTGCTCAAGAAGTACCTGCGGCGCCAGCCTCGTGCCAGAGAGCTCCCGGACTTTCTGCCCTGCCCCTAAACCCTGAACCCTAAACCCTAAAAGGCCCTAAACCCTGTGAGGCAGATTGAGGTAACTCATGTGGGGTGCTCGCAGGACAAACTCGGGGCCATCAACTTGGATCGACACAGGTGCAAGTTGTGGGAACTCCTAAACCCTAAACCCTAAACCCACACATATGTGATTTGTTGCTGTCCTCCCCTCTGTCATGGCCATATCATAGACGGCGCGGTGCACGTAGGTCTGTCAGTGACTACGACGACGGCGAATCACAGCAGACCGGCCGCAAGCTCAAAAGGTGGTGTGCGGTTCTTGCGTTGTCTTGTCTTGGCACTTTCTCACGAATCTGCCAGCCACCCCCAGCATCCGCGAAGCACTACAAGACCGCGGTCGAAAGTCAGCCCCTAGTCCGCACCTGAGGCTCGACAAACCCACCTGGCAAAGCTAAGCATGCTGAACATGGCCAACGACAGCTGCCATCAGCCCAGAGCGATATGTGACTGCAACATGCGGGATCAGGTGTCACCTGGCACAAATTCTTTTCCGAGCGTAGAGGGGAGGCAAGCTTTTTTGACGTAGAAAAGGGCTTGGAGCATCGGTCATGAGTCAGTCGTACAAGCGTTGCCCTTGCCTCGGTGTTGGTGAACCTGCTCCGGGGTGTTTCTGTCTAATTAAACACATTTTTGGCACTCCCCAAAATCGGGGTACCCCCTTTGTACCCAAAATAGAATAGAGTTCCCTTAAAGGGACCCCCCAAAAAGGGTACCCCTACTTGCGGAACCACCCATTTGCCTTTGTCAGGGCTCTCTTGGGCATCGAGTGTTTCGTCTGGCTGCTCTGCGGGTTTGGTGATGAGGGCCGAGGGCATGAAGGTCCCCACTGTTTAGGGTTTTAGGGTTTAGGGTTTAGGGTTTAGGGTTTAGGGTTTAGGGTTTAGGACTCCCTGTGCAAGACCCTGTCAAGGTCCCAATCTGCAGCTTCAACAAAGCCTGCCGCTGCGAAAGTCATCGACGTCGGCTCAGAGCTCAGTCCGTCATGCTCTCGACACATGCACACTACTACTGCATATGTGCTGTGCCACGTCCCATGTGCCATAGAGCGGCATCTCTGGTTGGAGTGTCAATCCTTAGCAGTTTGGTAAAAGAAAACTTGCCACTTGCTGTCGACCGGGATGGTGGACCGCATGTGTTCGTATATTACATGGTGATTTCATGTATTTCAAGCAGCGGTGGGTTTGCATCATTTCGCCCCCAAAACTTGTCCATGTTTGTCTCCATGTGATTCGAAGTGCAATGTACAGTATCATTCGATGCCTCTGCATGCTGCGCTTGCTGTGGTCTCAGGTGGTGAGGAGGTGGCTCAGACCCGTCCAAAGAAGCGCTTCAAGCTGGACAGCAGTGAAGACTTGTCGAGGGCCCCACAATCACTCCGCAGCTTTGGCCTTACGATTTTCTTTGGGTTTAGGGTTTAGGGTTTAGGGTTTAGGGTTTAGGGTTTAGTGTTTCATTGACACTGCTGGCTGTGGCCATTCTGAGACCACCCAAGTGGCCTCAAGCTGAACTAAGGAGAAGGCGTGGCTGTGCCGAGAGCACAAACAGCCGAGTCTTTACAGGAAGGGGACATGCAGGTAGACAGCTCCAGGACAGGCGTTCCCTATTGATCCTGCTGACTAGAACCCTAAATCGTAAACCCTAGACGTCCCTGAGCTTTAAACCTTAACTCCTAAGCCCTATAAACCCTAAGTCAGCAGGAAAGACTCTGCAACAGTCATCGACTGTGACATGATGGACATTGACAGCTGGGAGCCTTCTGTGTCCCCAGAATGTGTGAAATCCAAATGCTGTGAACTTGAAGGCCCTGATCCGACGCCGCCCGAGAGCGTCCCAAGGCCTGCAAAGTGTACTGCTGGCCTATTGCATTGGACTTAGGATGGCTTGGGGATGTTTATAAGGTGCCCTCCCCCCCTCCCCCGCAGTTGTGAATTGCGAAGGTTTGCTGACCGAGGGAAGAACTAGTTAGCCACAAAGTCCTGTGAGGCACCACGCAAACAGTACCGTATCAGCTAGGGTTGCACGGCGTCCAATGTGAGTTGGCTACTCGGTGCGAGAGTGCAGTCAAGCAATTTATACTGGTACCTGCAAACCCCAAAACCCCGACAGGATACGCCGAAGTGGGTGCCGCAATTGGAGCCCAGAACGGAACGGGCCTTGCAGCCTTTCGATTCTTGCAGTCGTGCACAGCTTCCAATAGCCATGGCGAGCTTATATTCTGGCCAGTTGTTTAAGTGATTCTTGCTCGTGGGCTACCCTGCCATATGAACCTATAAACCCTAAACCCTAAACCGCCAAACCCTAAACAGCGGCTCAGGTCTGGCGCATCTGTTTCGGGCGAGCGCGCAGGCTCACCCTCGCACCAAAGGCCTGGGGCATTCCACAATCGCACGCCTGGCGCTCGGCACGTCGCCATAGCTCAGCGTAGAGGACGTAGGCATCATGCATTGTCTGAGAAGGAAGATCTTGATAGTTCGCTGCGCTGGCGGGGGGGGGGGGGGGGGGGGGGGCCCGGGGTGGGGGGGAGGGGGTAGCCAGAAAAATCTAGAAAAGCAAAACCCCCCTATTGCAGAGAACTCAGAAAAACCCAGAAAAGCAAAACCCCCCTATACAGAGAAGTCTCAAAAACTCCCAGAATTCCCCAAAATCCAGAAAAGCAAAACCCCCCTATACTCGAGAACTCTCAAAAATCCAGAAAAACAAAACCCCCTAAACCCTAAAAACCCCAAAGACCCTAAAAACTAAAAACCCTACAACCCTAAACTCCCTACAAACCCTAAAACCCTAAACCCCGATACAGAGAACTCACTCAAAATTTCCCCCAAAATCCTCGAGTGCAAACCCTAAACCCTAAACCCTAAACCCTAAACCCTAAAACTTCCGAGGTTCCGCAGTGATGCGCAGCGGCCATCCCGAAAGGTGCTGAGACTCGACTCGAAGCCTGGCCCTTGTGCGGTTTAGGGTTTTGGGCTTTAGGGTTTAGGGTTTAGGGTTTAGGGTTTAGGGCAGATCATTTAGCTGCAGTGGGCTGTGACGCCATCTGCATTGCCTGATTTGGCTTCAGTTGCCCTCGCGCAGCAAGAGAGATCTGAAAAAGTCACATGCAGCAGAAGAATGCACAATGGAATTCCCGGCGTTGTGGCTGCTGTTGCAGTTGGGCTGCCACTGCTCAGTGTTGCGGAGTAAATACGCTTGATTTTGTTTGTTTGGCGTGCCAAAGAGTAGTATCAGATAGCTAATTTTAAGTATTTGCGCATCACTGCAAAAAATATCCTTCTGCCTGAACCTCGCGAAGCAACCCTCATAAACAAGGGGGGTACCGGACTGGGGTCTTTTCTGAAAGCTATATATATTCCCCGGGATTTCTTTAATTTTTGTTTATATAAAACCCAAGAGGACATCAAGTATATTATTTTCATGAAGGTTCGAAGGGAGTATAGAAAGGTTGCCTGAAGGGCATTCCGAACTTGCTCTGCGTAAAGGTTGTTTCAATCTTGGACCCCCCTTTTGGTTTAGTGTTTAGGGTTTAGGGTGTTATCTGGATTCGGGCAGGATCCAGCCCTTTTTGGGGGCTGCACAGTCAGGACTGCTAAAGTAAGACCTTTTTTCCCCCTCTCGCGGCTTGCTGATCTGATTGGCCAGTCCCAAGAGCGGCCTGACATCCCAGCAGAATGTTGTTAAAAAGAAAGGCATTTACCATATTCTGGGGAGTTCTGAAGCGACAGTAGAAACCTGGAGACCTTGGATTTTTATGCCCTGGACATGCCTAGACCCTTCTGAAGTCCTGGCCCCGGCTTTTGAATACACCCCGCCCCCCCCCCCCCCCCAGAAACCGCGCCTGACTTGTTCCGGGCGATCCCTTTCATATAGTGTTGGACTCGATACTCGATGTTATTGTGGTGGCTGCCCTGGGTCGGCGCAGGCTGGCATGTCTTGCAGAGGGCGGGTGGGGGAGGCTCACGGAAAAAACAGTTTAGGGTTTAGGGTTTAGGGTTTAGGGTACAAAAGTAATCCGTTTTCTCAAGCCCTCGGACGAATGAGGATGCGTGGTGAGGTTTTGAGGCGTTCGATGAGTGTTTCTGTTCGGGCCTTAGGCAGCGTCGTTATTCCCAAACCTCCGCACCCACACATCGATAGATACTGAAAGAAAAACTTTTTTTTGCATGCAGACGCGAGCACACGCACACCCACCCACGCACCCACCCACACCCACACCCGCACCCACACCCGCACCCGCACCCACACCCACACCCACACCCACGACACCAATACATACATACGTGCTTACACGCCTGTATATATATATATAATATGTATATTTCATTTTCTCTTTAAGTTCAGCTTTGCTTGCAGCAAGGCCCACAACGGGACACCCTGTCGCAGCGAAGGTGCACAGCTCAGCCATCAGGTGGTATGGTATCCATGCATGTAAGCTGAAAAGAGTCGAGGGACATGTCATGTCACAAGCCGAAGTGTAAGCAATATCTAATGTGCAGAAAAATGTGTTTGGCATAATGTGTGGCTGAGGAAACTGACCAGCAAACGCCGCCGCCTCTCAAGCATCTTGAATACAAGAGTGGAGAAGATTTGGGGGTTTACGAGAATAGGGGACCCTAAAATAGACCCCCCAAATAGTAGAGTTCCCTTGTAATAAGGACCCCAACAAGGCCCCCATTTTCGGATACTCCCATTTGCAGCAGCAGTAGTGAAGGCATTCTTCTGTGGACACTTGTCGCTTGCATGCAGCCAACACATCGGGCAGTTTTCCGTTTAGAAATTGTTCAGGTCGTCCCCCGCAAGTTGTTGACAACTCTCTCAACAAATTCCCGTCGTTGCGATTGAGATTTTTATGTTTTTTTTTGTTCTTGTGTCTTCGTCGTCACATGGTCGTGGTATAGCGGCAGTACCCTGAACAATTCCCCGGAACACTGCATCATTCCGGGGGCGTATTCAATACCAAGAGCGCAACATTCTGAATACAAACCAACAGGATAATCAGAATAGCAAAAAGAACGCACAAGGAGGCCACGACGACCTACTGCTGCTCCGCGCCAACAGGCCCCCTCCCATGCTTGGAGTTGCTTGGAGTTTGTGACTTGCTTCACCGCGTGAAAGTGTAACCCTAAACCCTAAAGCCCAACAACAATCCCGACACCCAAGGCGGGTCGGCGCACAGGGGTTTAGGCTTGAGGCTTTAGGTTTGTTTTTGTGCAGGGTTTAGGCTTCCTTTTTTGTCACCCGGACCGAATCCTGGCCTGCTTCAGCGAGTGCGAGTGTCGAAACCCCTGTGCCTTGGTAGGATAGGGGAGACCCTTGAAAGGGAACCCTTCTTAACCCTCTTCTGGCTCTCTTAAACAGGGACCTTGTTGAGAAGGTCTATATCCCCAAGGGTCCCCCAAATCCTATCCCCTATTGAGGCAGTTCAGAAGGCTGTGACCTCTCGGCGGCGTCGGGGTGAAGATGGACAGGTCTCGGCCTCATCCGGTTGTAACCTGGTTTAGGGTTTAGGGCCTGTTTAGGGAAAAGGGTTGAGGGCAAGGACAAATGGCACAAATTTGGAACATGGTCGTTTCTCATATGAACAATAAGTATAAGTATAGCGGTAGTAGCAATCATGTCAACGATACCAACAATAACCGCAATAGCAACAATAACAAAAAACACAATAGCAACCGTAAGGGCTCAGTAGAAATCAACGACAGTAACCAATAATATTCTACAATATAGCGACATTGGATTCATTAGATGGTAATATAACAATACAATTATATTATATAGCAATATTAGATAGTAACAAAAAATATTCTATAGCATAGCAATATTAGACAGTAACATAGAAGAACAGCAACAGGTGCACCGGGAAGGTCGACCAGCCACGAGCCAAGAGACGGAGTGTGTGCTCGGTTCAGAGGGGTGGGGCGCAGTCAAATCTAGGGTTTAGGGTTTAGGGTTTATGCACTGTGCAACCCAGGACGTCGCGTTGCGCATCAAGAAGCAATGGTGCGACAAGATCTTCGACAGCACCAAGGCCTGCCTCGTGATGGGCAGCATGCAGGTTTTTAACCCTAAACCCTAAAACTCTAAACCCCAAACCCTAAACCCTAATTAAACCCTACTTCCATGGGTAGGCAGGCAATTTGCTTAACTTAACTTAACGACTCGACATCATTCGCGTGTGAGGCATGGCGAGGCTGTAGATGACAGTTATAAAGGCTCAGGCTGTTGCATGTCACGCAGCCATGCGGCGGAGTTCTTGGAGGCCGAGGATTTTCTGTGGAGTTGTTCCCTGATTCCGCTGCTGCTTTCCTGCTTTGCTGTTCAGCAGAGCTAAACCCTAAACCCTAAACCCCTAAACCCTAAACCCTAAACCCTAAACCCTAAACCGTCGTCTCATGCCTGATCCTTCAAGGTTTCAAGCTGCGCTCAAGTAGGCGGGAGCGACAGAGTAATGCCAGCACACTGCCAGTTGTGCAGGTACCTGCTCAGGCCCGCTAGTAGCTCTTCTTACCAGTCGAGAAACTGCCAGCAAAGCATCGTAGGTTGATATGAGTTCTTCCCAGCGCGTCCCTTTTCAGCCATAACTCGCGGGATCGAGCCATGGCCTCACCTTCGAGTGGCTACCGGCCAAGTCTGGTAAGGTTGGAAACCAGGGCAGTAGAAGAGGATGCGCGGAAGAAGTCAACCCGCCAGCTGTGGCGGCAGCATTTTGAGGAATTCACGGAGTGGCTGTCGGGGCAAGGAGAGGAGATGGTCTACGCGCGCCTGGACGATCAGCTTACCGAGTTCTTGCGGAAGAAGTACTTCGAGGGGAAGTCCCGCAGCTATGCCGTGAACACGATTCGTGCGGTGAAGTTCGAGGTGCCCCCAGAGCTGGGGCGTGACAGCCTCGGGCGCGCCAGGAGTGCAGTAGCCCGTTGGGACAGCCTTCCATTTGTAGAGCTGGACCCAGACAAGATTCGGGCCACAGGCCTCCAAGCAATAGGCTCGGCAGCTTTGTGTGACCAGCTTGGACATCAGCTTGGCCTGGGGCCCATGCTGTACTTGCGGAGAACTGCCAGAGGCATGCCGGCCGCAGTGGATAGCGCCCTCCATCGTGCCTTCAAGGATCACGTCCCACACGTGAAAGCTGAAGACTGGCGCGGATGCAAGCCTTTGCGGAAGGACTTCCAGGACTTTCTCACTGGCCGGCTGGCCTCACCAGCGCAAGGTGCGGAAGGAGGTGAGGTAGCAGAGAATCCGGCCATGCGATTGGTCATCCGGGACTCCCCTGCTTTTCTTCAAATGGAGATGGCAGGTTCAGCTTCCTTTCAGATGGATGGCAGTTTGGCCCTTCTCGGGAAAGACCTCTTGGAGATAAACGTGGACACCGCGGGTCTATGGTTCAGGACGCCCCAACAAAAAGACGTGCACCTGCTCCAGGCAAACAACTTGGACGCTAGCTACACCGGCCACGGGCCCGATTCAGCTGAAGTCGCGGATCTAGGCAGCCGGCTGCGTCGTTTTCTGGACCCGAAGCAAGTGTCCCACGCAGTGCAGCTGCTAAACCCAGGCACTTTGTCAACGCTGGCCATGCTCTTTCCAGACGCCAAGTACGATGTGGCTCTGGTGCAAGACACCTTTCACCACTACGACCCAGAAGCCCCTTATGCTTTGGAGGAGACGAACTGGCTCAAGAGGCTTAAGGGCAGCCCACGCGATTGTTTTTTGTCGCACAGTCGGGCAGATATTGAGGAGACCAGCCACCTCCTCAAGACCCAAGAGCACTTGGACCCCAAGCGCGTTGAGTTTTACTCGGCGCAGCTGCAGGAAGCCCTGGCTACAGGCTCCTCGGCACGACCCACAGCCCTGGTGCTGGACTTCTTCAATACAGGTCAGATCCACCGACCTCAACCTGACGAGGGCGATGCAGTTGTAGGTCCAGGCGGACGTCGCATCCAGACACGGAGGAGAACAGCTTGTGAGAATGGATACTTGGACCACAGCGTCAACCCTAGGAGAACGTGGATACTGCTCGACGGCCACCACAAAGTGGAGGCTGCTGCTCGATTGGGTTGCACCATGAACTTCCTGGTGTTCTGTCCATGTGCAGAGCCATATGAGCCGCTTTGCGCCAACGACCCATGTGCCCCGACCCTTGCCAAGACGGTCGTTTTGCCCACGCTCTGGCCAAGCCAAGGCACTCCAGTTGCAGATTGGGAGACCGCACGGCTGTGCTCCTGCGTGGCCATGCGCCTCAGTAGCTCACGGCAGCTGTCTGAGGCTTGGGTGTGCAAGCAATGCTGCCGCTGCTTCGATCGCGAGGATGCGGGGCTTCCTCCGTGGGGCTACGGAATGCTCTCAAGCGCCAGAGGCGGCGTGACTTCGCGAGGTGCGCTGATCAAGCACTGCAAACAGGTTTTTGGTGAGAGCCATGAGCTGTTCACGACCTACCAGAATGCTACCATGGCAGCGCTTCCGCAGGATCTGCAGATGCAACTGTACCGGGAAGCCTTTGACCTCTCCAGGAAACCCTGACTGAGTTGGACACCATGCTTGGCCTGTCTGTGCAGATCTCCCACCTGGCTGAGGGCTCAAGTTGCATGCCGAGTTGTCGACAGCACCTGCTGAGGCAAGCCGAAGTCCAAGCCCGTAGTCCATCTGGAAACCTGGTGGGGGAGGAAGGAGACACGCAAGTCGTTTCACTTGGCCTTTTGAGTTAAAAGCGCAGTCTTCTATCCTGGTCTTGCACTGATGGGTGGCGCGCAGCCGTTTCAGCGTAACCGTCCTTCTTTATCTCCGTTCAGTCTGAACAAGCTGCAAGACCACGTTGCCTGGTTATTCGTGTTGAGCTGCAATTGAATGCCTGGGAACTGCTTCTAGACTTAGAACACCCTATTCGTGGTGAGTCTGCTGGGAATGGCAGGGGGTGGGTATTTGGGTCACTGGCTTGGTTTGGTGTTTGTGGGCCTAGTTGTCTGTGACAGGCAGAGAGCCAACATCACTACTCAGCGTTTGGTCATTCAGAAATGGTACTCGGTGCGGCTGGGCTGCTAGCCAGTGGCTCAAAACGCCCTGAGCAGGTGTGGGAGATTCGTGGCAGCGCTTTGCACAAGCGAGGCTTCTGGCTGCATGTCCCCGTGCATTTTGGCCTTCACGAGGTTTCGTTGGGATTTGGCGGCGCCACTTGGGTCTGGGGTCTAGCTGTGGAACCCCTTGCCCATGACAACTGATGGCCCTCAACCCTAAATCGCTGTGTGCCGAGAAGCTCCTAGCAGTCTGGCAGGACGCGTTTGCATTGCCCAATCGAAATCCCAGCAGTTGGTTGGGGAGGTCCCGGCCTCGTTCACGTATCGGAGCATTCAACACCTTCGGGTCTTTCATTGCGGCCGCGTTCCGCGACTGCAGGCCGAGTACGCCCGAGTACGCCCGAGTACGCCCGAGTACGCCCGAGTACGCCCGAGTGCGCCCGGTCATACCCATACCCGGTCATACCCGGTCATACCCGGTCATACCCGGGCATACCCGGTCATACCCGGTCATACCCGGGCATACTCGGGCGCCCGAGTACGCCCGAGTACGCCCGAGTACGTTCCGCGACTGCAGGCCGAGTACGCCCGAGTACGCCCGAGTACGCCCGAGTACGCCCGAGTGCGCCCGAGTGCGCCCGAGTGCGCCCGGTCATACCCATACCCGGTCATACCCGGTCATACCCGGTCATACCCGGTCATACCCGGGCATACCCGGTCATACCCGGGCATACCCGGTCATACCCGGTCATACCCGGTCATACCCGGTCATCCCCGGTCATACCCGGTCATACCCGGTCATACCCGGTCATACCTGGGCATACCCGGGCATACCCGGTCATACCCGGTCATACCCGGTCATACCCGGTCATACCCGGTCATACCCGGTCATACCCGGGCATACCCGGTCATACCCGGTCATACCCGGTCATACCCGGTCATACCCGGGCATACCCGGTCATACCCGGTCATACCCGGTCATACCCGGTCATACCCGCATACCCGGTCATACCCGGTCATACCTGTTCATACCCGGTCATACCCGGTCATACCCGCGCATACCCGTGCATACAAGGGAATACCCGGTCATACCCGGTCATACCCGGTCATACCGTCCCGTGGTTTTCCGCAGTCGCGGTTTCCCGTCACAGTGGGGTCTTTCAAGGGTACACCCTAAACCACATGACCTGCATTATAGCGCCCACGCTGTTCCACTCAGACCTGCGAGGTCCACAACATTCAAAAGAGCCGACAAGCCCCTGCACGAAACCCCGCCCTAGCTTGGCAAGGTCACCTTCGTGAATTGCGTGAAGGCCTGGTGAGATAGTGTGCGACCGTCAGGCAGTCTTTTCCTGCAAGAGGGTTTAGGGTTTAGGGTTTAGGGTTTAGGGTTTAGGGTGGGAGGTTGTGCCACGCTGAGCAGTGCCAGGTGGGAAAGCTGGAGGATGGGAGGCTAGTACCTTGGAGCGACAGCGAAGCTGACAGGCGGCTGGGAGAGTTGTAACGGCCCTAAAGTCAAAGCCTAAACCCTAAACCTTTAACCTCTTAAAATGCCCTAAACCCTAAACCCTAAACCCTGAACCACCCTAAATCCAGCCGCCTTTCACCTTTGATAGGCAAAATTTCATTGGCAACCCGGACAACTTGACCAAGCACTGCATTCAGGAGCCCATCCCCTCAGTGCAGCTGCAGAGTAAGGACTTCTCTAAACTAAGCTCTCCTTAGGGTTTAGGGTTTCGGGTTTAGGGTTTAGGGTGGAGCCCAGTATTCAACAGGGTTTAGGCAGAAGGTAAAAGGGTTCAGGACTGGGCCGTATTGCCTGAAGGATCTTGGAATTGTCCAGTACCCTCGTGTCTTCGCCTGGGTCATGGAGAATCGGCACCGCTATGACGAGCCGGTGGCCTACGCCCACAAGGCAGGTGGGCTTAGGAGATCACGGGGAGGTTTAACACAATAAGGGACCCTTAGTAAAGATCCCGAAATAGTAAGATTCCTCTATGATAAGATTTTGGAATTCCCCGCTTGATGCCCGACCCGAGAAGTGATTGCGCAATCTGACTGACTGACCTTCTCCCCTGGTTCTTAGTAGGGAATGAGGGATTTAGGGCCCTAAATATTCCCTTGAAGGGATTCTATAGGTTTCCCTACTAAGAACCAGCCAGCCTACTGTGAGAGCTGGTGCAGCCCCCTAAACCCTGAACAAACCTCAAACCCTAGCCTTAAACCCTAAACCTTAAACCCTGGCAGATTGGATGTGTCAATTGGGCCCAGAGCTCAGAGTTCCGCGTGCTCGGAGAAAACTCCTCGTCATGCACTCCCCTGCGCATAGTAGACCCTTTTGAGGAACGGACTTTGGAGGCTGCCGGCATAGTGGACCCTAAACCCTAAACCCTAAACCCTGGGATGTGGTGAGTCCCATCAGTCACTTCCTCCTTTTTTCTGTGCGGCTAACGAGGTCAAGCTCGAGTGGGCGCACGGGCAAGCTGAAGCGAAGGTGCAAGCAGTAGGAGACACAGGCTATCATGGTCACTATATCCCCCTTGGGAATTCTTTTTTGTTTTTGTTTATATGAAGCCCAAGAGGATATTACAAATATGATGTTTATTAAGGTTCTAAGGGGAGTATAGGTTACGGCTAATGCTATGGAGAGTCGTTTTCGGTGCAAGCATGTTGGAAGAGCGACATCTTGCGAGAAAAACCACATTTGCAGAACAACCGTCTTGCGTTCCCTGCACGAGACGTGTAATGTGGGACTTTTCACTCTTTTTTAGGCTGATATGTATGCAGCAAGATAGGAAAACGAATGGCATACCTGTCTCTACTATGACTGCCTTTGCTGATCGTGGAAGTCTGGCACTAAGCCGCAAACCTTCCGCAAAGACCTCCTGCCGCTGCCTTGCGAGAAGTATGTTAGAATTCCTCAAACACCCTCGCAGACCACACGCTACACAAATGCAAGCTCTGCTCATCACTGTAATACCTCACTAATACTCTGCAATACATGGAGATAGATTTGGGTTTCCGGCTTATGTGCATGTGTGGATGAGTCTGTGTTGTTGTATTTGTGCATGTGCCTGTTCGTCACTTGAGTCAAGTCCAAGTGTGTGTCGTTACCCTGCTACTTAATGCCTACATCCCGTTGATTCACACAAAGAGTCGCTTCGCGGATTACCTACATCCTAAATCCCTATTCCGTCCAGTGGTTGATGTTCAGGCTCCTGGGGCTGTCCGCCGGTCCTGCTTCGGCCTCGCTGAGAGGGACACTGGTGTGTGGGATTAGGCAAAGAAGAGGTTTTGGGCTTGAAAGCTTACCCCTCCCACCCCCGTTGAAGAACTACCTGGTATGGGACAGGGATACGACATCATGTCAGGTTTCGATCCCGATTGGGGCTACAGGGTCACCCTCTTTCCACCCTTAAACGTCTGGGGGTGAAAAAGCCGTGTAACGAAACCTTGCAGCCTTGCGTGAGAGTGACGAAGCCGATGGGGCCGAGCATGCTTGTGAGGCTCTGCCTCTACCAGGCCTCCGCCGGACAGGCCGGTGAGCAGAATGTAGGGTTTAGGGTTTAGGGGGGTTTAGGGTTTAGGGTTTAGGGTCCAGTGGCAAAGAGGGTTCTGAGTAAGGTACCTGATGTCCTCCCTTTGCCCCCCGTGCCCCCAAGGTGGGGGAAGCCTATAAACCTACTTCGGCAGCACTTCCGTACCCTGCTTTGGGCAGCACTCATCACAGAACTGTAAGCTTCAGCGCAAATGTAGACAGCTATCGGACGCATAACGCTAACAGAGGAGCGCCCCAGTGATGTGTTGCATCTCTGGTGTCCATGGGTCCCTAAACCCAAAACCCTAAACCCTAAACCCTGAACCCTATTGCAACCTTCTGCAGGAAAGAGCTCCATGACACCCCAAGAGTTCTTTTGAGACCGCAGGCCGCGCTGCAGGCCGTTCATGTGGGGTTGGATCCTGGGATTGCTCCTTTATTCTTATTATCATCATCGTTATTATTATTATTATTATTATTATTATTTTATTACTATCATTATTGTTTTAATTAATATTTATTAATATTATTATGATTATTATTATTCTTAATTCTGGTGACCAGCAGCGCTCGCGAGGCAACGCCGGCTTGGACTCTCAGGCCTGGACACATAGTGTTCGATGACCCTGAGGACGTTCCTGACGAGCATGTTGAGCAAGCCTGAGCGCTTGCGGTTTAGGGTTTAGGGTTTAGGGTTTAGGGTTTAGGGTTTAGGGTGAAGGCGACAACAACAACAACAACAACAACAACAACAACAACAACAACAACAAGCAGTCAGGCAAGCATCCCACAAGGATATGTTCTGCCCTCTCCAGCGGGTCGGTGGCTACCTGAGTGTGTGAGCGCTGTGACAACTCACGGCGGGGTCTTCTCCCACAGCTGCTACCGTGCTCCCTCTTCTGGTTTTGTGCAAGTACTTGCACTCACTTGACACTTGACACATCGTAACTATATCCTGTTGGGAATTGTTTTTTATTCTTGTTTATATGAAACCCAAGAGGATATCAAGAATGTTGTTTTTATTAAGGTTCCAAGGGGAGTATAGGTAAAAAGCCTGGAGCAAGAAGCGGCAAATCAGGACACCGGTTGCCATGCTTCGCGTGTGCAATGTACAGCAATGCCGGGTGGTGTCGCTTAGCGGCCAATTGCAATGGAAGGTTTGAAGGCATTTTAACAGCTATAGGCTTGAAAACAACCAACAGTAGCCCTACCTCCATTGCACGCTGGCGAAGAAGGTGTGTGGGTGATGCCTTCGCGCAGTGAAAAGGGTAGTGTTTTGCCACGCTCAGAGAGTGGAATGTTACATGCGTGATGGTTTGAGCAGGCACCCTTTACAACCCTCCAAAAACATTTAAAAGTCCCTTTAAAAATCCCCTCTAAAACTCTCTAGAAACCCTCAAAAGCCCCTCGTGTCCGCGGCTGTGCATAATTTACAATACTGACAGCTTGCCCATCGCAACATGATTCTCGGCTGCAGCTTGGCTACTACGAACATGCTGACTTCAGTCGTCATGTAAGGAAAAGGCCTGTTGCAGATATTGCCTAAGTCCACTAAGACTAAGTTAAGCTTGCGACCTTGTCTCCAGTATCTGTTCCATGTTCAAGAAGCGCCTGGCTAAGTTGCTTTGCACATGCACATCGGATCAATGCGTGGCGAGTCCGTGTCTGCTAGATCTTCATCCCCTAAACCCTAAACCCTAAACCCTAAACCCCCGAGGCTACAACGACTGGTACCGAAGGATGTGAAGGAGGTGCCGGCCCATGGTGTGTAAGAAGAGTCGCCAGGAAGGTGCAAAATAGCCACAAGATAGAAAACAGCGCAGGGTTTAGGGTTTAGGGTTTAGGGTTCAGGGTTCAGGGTTTAGGGTTTAGGGTTTAGGGTTTAGGGTTTAGACTATAGCAGCTGGCCTCTCCTTTTGCTTTCCAGCAGAGCTTTTTCCGTCACGGGCAGCGCAGGTATCTTCTTTCCAGGATGGGCTATATAAGGCCTTATAATCCCACAATCAACCCTATAAAGGGCCTTTTAGGGGGTTACAGGGTTTAATAGCTATAAGGCCTTATAATCCCAGAATCAACCCTATAAAGGGCCTGTTTAAGGGGTTTATAATCCCATAAGCAACCCTATAAAGGGCCTTTTTAAGGGGTCATCGGGTCTTATAAGCCCATCCAAAGTTCCCATGAGGCGCTCCACCATGCGCAGGCGGCCATATCCAGCGGCGGAGGCCGGTTTAGGGTTTAGGGCCTAGCCACCCCCCCCTCCCCCTCTGACCTCCCCAAACAAAGCACACAGACGTGAGGGAATCCGCATGTTCCTGATGTTTTTTTTTTCATGGTTCGTTGATGGCGCATGACTTCGGCCACCGTCACCACTATGCATCAAAAGCTGGACAAAATCTCATGCGCATGGCACACACGCCTCCATCATCCCATTTCAATGCATCCCTATTGCGAGACGGACATCTGATATTCAGAACTTGTTCTTTGGCATTGTGCCTAGCTTGGCTCAACATTGTTTCGCACTACCTCGCCTTTCCGCTGCATCGTTTGAGGAGGCGCCCCGGTTCGTCGTGACCAAGAGCCAGGGGCCAAGATTCAATAAGATGAGTCAACTCAAAGTCACGCGCTAAGATTCGGGTTTCCGAATCTGATCAAGGTCCACTCTGCACTGTCAGGAGGCAGGGCACTTGTCTCGGGCAGTTGCAGGTGAACACAGGAGCCGAGGTCACGCCGATGAGGAAGTGGTGACCGATGATTCAAGCATTTGACCGCAATGTTGTGCCCAAGTAAGCGGTTGAAAGTTGATTAAATCTTCTTGAGCGGCTGTGCGAAGCTGGCAGCGGCCATGTATGCACGCAACCCCGCCGTCCGGTCGGTGAGCGCCGTGTCGCCCGACCGCCGCATGGAACCTGTGCAGAGCTGGCAGCCATGGTTGAAGCAAGCAGGGCAAGCAGCTCGCCCGCAGAGCTACAAGGGCCCGATCATCGAAACAGTGAAGCCTGCAGTCCCCATGCGAACCCAGAGTCCTCCACCTCGGATGACATATACCAATGCGCTCTGCGCTGAGATTCGGCCAGACCCTCGTACCGGGGCCCTATCTCCCATTCACCAGAGGCACTCTGGACCCCCTCCGGCGCAAATGCCGGTCACACAGGTGCCTGCCCAGGCTCCAACCCAAAACGTCAACTACTTCGACAAGCAGATGCCGCAGACGCAGCCTCCCGTGGCATTCGATGAGGCCATGACGGCCAGACCCGGAATGGGCAGAAGGCTGGAGTGGCAGGTCGACTCCCACGCAGTCCCTTTGCAGGGAGCCGGCAGCATGTCTGCTGTGGATGGGGGCTCCCAGCCCACGAGTTGCCACATACCGCTGATGTCTCCTATGCAGCGCTACAGGCGCGAGAGCAGCAAGCCGGCGGCAGAGCTTGAGTCCACCGGCACGCCTCAGGCCCAAGTCAAGCGTGGCAACTCGGAGGGCTCTTTGCCCTCTTCGGCACGGCGCGAGAAGGTGCCCGACTTTGACCTGGAGAAGAAGATCGTGGAGGAGGTGAACCGTGTGCTGGAGAGCCGCCTTGCTGCCAAAGAGGACACCGACGCCCTCAAGAAGGAGCTTGAGCAGGCGGTCCGGCCTGCCCTTGAAAGTTCTTTAGTCAGCAACAGCAAGGTCAGCACAGAGCGCCACTGGGCACAGTCCTGAGATGTTATGAGTGTGAGGCAGTGGACGACCGAGAGATCGAAGCACAGCAGGCCTGGGCGTGTTCGGCATGTCCGAGGTCGTTACGTTTCAAAACTCAGACCAGCACTAGCAGCATCCACCTCGGACCTGTAGATCGCATGCTGAGTGAACGAGTAGGGCAGTATGCAAGGCGCAAGAGTTGCCACACCAGGCACAGCCCAAGAGCTTTCGCATTGAAATGCTCAGCCCTATACCCTGAACCCTGATGTCGAAACCCTATATAAGCTACAGCCAAAGGCACCAAAGAACAGAGAATCCTACCCCACAATCCCCACAAGCCAATGAGATTGTACAGGTCCAGCACCTGACGGAGCGCCTTATTGAGATGGCACCTTGGCCCAAGTTCACAGTGGTTAAGAGCTTTTGTTTGTGGTTCCAAGTTGTGGCGCAGTTGGGGGCTCTACCAGCCCAGAGGGCGCTACTTGTTCAAGAAAAGAGGATCCTAAACCCTAAGCCCTAAACCCTAAACCATTCAAATCGCTTCAAAGTTGGAAGCCGCCAGCAACTTCTACCTTCCCAAGCTAGGGAACCTTGTAACAACATCGCTTTGCTGGCATTCCCAGAGAGCCCAATACCCCCTAATAAAGGAATATAAATACAAGACCCCTTCATAAAGGAACATACTGGATACCTTAAATCATCTCAAGGATCCCTACATCATTTAAGGTAGATTCTTTGTTCAAGGGGTATTGGGCTCTTTGGGTTGGTTTTGGGGGTGGCATCTTTGGAGCGTTTTGGTATAGAGGCCACACCCGAGAAGCCCTTGAAAGCTGTGGCCGACCTAAGCCTTAACTCAGCAGCTCTAGGGTTTAGGGTTTAGGGTTTCTGAAATCCGCCGGGTAGTTTCGGCCACGAGTCCAACCCGGAACAAGCACAGGAGCAGCGACTAGAGCGAGAGGCGGATGCCCGGCGGAAGGTCCAGGCCGGTTTTCAGGGTTCTCAGGTGATAGAGCTTCTTCAGGCTCCATCGGTTTGGGGAAGCGACAACCTTCAAAACCACTTTAAAAGCAAGACGAATATGATTGAATATCACTTCTCAACCAGCATGGCTTTGAATCCGCGACAGGCCTCTAAACCATTACCGCATCTCGAGTAGCATGAGGAATGAAATCACGTTTTCGAGTAGAGAATGTATCTGTGGGTGTGGTAGAATGAATCCGCGCGGGGTCACCTAAACCCTAAACCCTACATGGTCCTGTATGCCAGGCCAAGCTGGACCAAGGAGTCTTGATTGAGAGCGAACTCCACCAAAAGGACGCGGGTCTGTGAAGAGAAAGGGCCGTGGCGATATAG